CACTTGACATTGAGAAATTTGTTAATGATTGTCCCAAATGTACTGAACATAGAACACAACATCATGAACCCCTTTTGCCCAGTGAGCTTCCATCTCGTCCTTGGGAAAAGGCAGCGATTGATCTCTTTAAACTTGAAGGAACATGGTTCGTAGTAATCACTGACTGTTTTTCACGTTATTTTGAAATAGCTACATTAAAGAACCTGTCAACTGCTGAAATAATCGAAAAATGCAAATCTGTATTCTGCCGTCACGGTATACCAATTGAGCTACGATCTGATTGTGGTACACAGTTTGCTACCAGATACACTGGTCTTGAAAACTCTGAATTCAAAAAGTTTGCTCAAAGCTATAACTTTAAACTTGTGACAAGCAGTCCAAGCTACCACCAAAGTAACGGTGCAGCTGAAGCTGCAGTCAAAATAGCGAAGAGTGTACTAAAGAAAAACAAAGACGACCCATATTTAGCCCTCCTAACCTACCGCAATACACCTCTATCCACAAGTGGATACAGTCCTGCTCAGCTAATATACAACAGATCACTGCGAGATAACCTGCCTGTTTTACCTAAAAAACTTGAAATCAAACCCGATCTCTCTCAACTAAAGGAAAAAGAAGATACTTACAAAGCATCTTACAAGAGAAACTACGATAGGCGCTACGCTACAAAAGAACTTCCATCGCTGCCTGTTGGTAAGAAAGTATGGATCCAAGACCTAAAAAGAGATGGTATTATTATCAGCTTAGGACAAGAGCCAAGGTCATACTGGGTTAAGACAGGAAACACTACGTTGAGAAGGAATCGACACCACCTTTTGCCTTACAAAGGTAATACAACCAAACCGAACAATCCTATTCCTTTATCCATCAAAGATACAACGTCAGATCCTCTGCCATTTACTACTGTTACTCAAAACAACTCTTCCCTATCAAATACTGCTGAAAGAACAACTACTGCACCATCTAGAATAACTCAAGATAAAAGTAAACCTTTTTCACGATCAACTACTCCCAATCAAGAAACTGCAATAAAACAATCATCAAGAGGCAGAATTATAAGACCTACGAAACGTTTTCCTGACTAAACTCTGAAAAGAAACTCAAAGGGAAAGATGTTTAACCTCTCTGCTTATTTAACTAATATTTAACCATATGATTTTATTTACTTTTCTATAGTAATATTATTCTTGTATTAGTGTCTTGATTAAAACAGTTTAGTTTCTTTTGATCTTTTAATTTCTTATTTAAATAAGAAATAGAACAACAACTATATTGCAACAGTTTTACAACAATTTAAAAACTGTTTTGACAACAATTTTAAAATTGACTTTGCAACATGTTGAAAATTGTTTTCACATAGGACCAGCCATCCCATGGGCATATCCTAAACACGAAATGATAAAGATTTTGTGTGAAATGTATATATATCAGTTGAGTATTTTGATTTAAATAGTTCATAAAAACAAATTTTGAGAAAAAACTAGAATCAAAATTATCTTCCCCAACAGGTCTTGAACCCGGGACCTCCAGACTGTGAATTCCTTACCTTAGCACTGAACTATCTGTGGTTGTTGATAATTTATGTTTTCAATCGGTCAAAGAGGAGCGGACAGTAGCAATGGTTGCAATAAATACTTTTGATACTATGATTATGTTTAGGCCTCAAGTTGTTGAATTGATTTTCTGGGAGTTGAGGAGGATACCGGTATTTGAATGTAGATGAATTAATTAACATTGCTAATGTTATTATAATTATTAAGATTAATTCATCTTCCCTCCTTAAATTGTTCAACTACAAAAAATTTGCTCAAATAGCCTAACTGAAAAAAAAATATTTGCATTATTATTATATGTTAAGCAGGTGTTCCATCACTGTATCTAGTATCACAACTATCACAATTAACGTCATCGGTAACTTATCACAAAAATCTGTAACTTATGCATTAAACAGATTGCAAATAACTTCATTTTGTGATGTTCTACAAGCCTATTGTAAGTGTTTCACAAATTATATGTTTGTCAAGTGTTGTTTTGGTTAGGCCTATGCCATCCACCATGATTGTAAAGTTGAACAGTATTTACGTTGGTAAGTTATTTAGAAAACTTGATCTTCAACTAATGTTTCCAACATGTGTTGGATCCGATTTACCATTCATTAATGTAATTACTTAACTTGTTTCATTTTTGAGTAATCTCAGAATTGATAATGTTACACCATGTACATATAACAGATAAATTTAATTAAATATTATTCACCCTGTTCTTGCTTATTTTTCATGAGCATTGTTCCACTATTTTTCTTTCGTGAAACACTTTTTTACTCTTCGCATTTTTGCGCTAAACTTTCTCGTTTAGGAGCTGCATTAAACAAAAAGTAGACCGGAAGTCATTTTTTCATAGGCTGTATCTCCTAAACTAGTGGGTTTATGGAATAAATATCACAAATAAAAAAGTGTTAAAATTGCATGTTCTATCCGAAAACATGATAAACTATAGGGTTTTAATAAGAAATTTCAATTATTGCTTTAGAAAATTTTGTATGATCCTTGTTCCACTTCAAAACTTTTGTTTCAAAACTGATTATTTTCCCATAGCATTCTCTATGATATAAAATTGTAACAGGCTAAATAACCACCCTAGATAAACCCACTAACAACGAAGAGCAGTGAGCAAAATCGAGTGTTCTAAGTAAATAAGCGATGGAAGTGACTTTAGTGCACTCCGTCACTCCGAGCAGGAGCAGGGTGGAATCGCCGTCGAGTCCACTGACACAGTTCGTTCATCGCCAGTGCTAATGCGGCGTTGCCTTACATTGCTTAGCGCCTGGCGATGGTTCGGCAACACCGCGCCCGCGCCGTGAGTCACTTATCGATCGATACATGCCTGTGACCACAGAAAACGTACTACTATACCCAGAATGCCAACCGCATGGTAAAAAGCATTAAGCGGTTTGAGAGAGCTTTGCCTGTCAATCCGTAGGCAGCGCCACCAGCGTTGCCATGCAATAGCATAGCAACGCTGGTGGCGCTGCCTACGGATTGACAGGCAAAGCTCTCTCAAACCGCTTAATGCTTTTTACCATGCGGTTGGCATTCTGGGTTATAGTAGTATGTTTTCTGCGCTGTGACGTCGAGGAGACTGCCACGCACGTAGTTCAACAAATGTCCGCTCCACTCCACGCACGCTAGTGTGCCAATTTCGGCCATTTCGGGATTTTGTTTTACTGGGACCCACTCTTAATCCAAGCTAAATGCGTTTTCCTAAAAACACAACAAAACATTGGTAATCTTTGCCTGGTTGGTTTTATCTAGCCGTTTTGCTATGGGGTTTTGCTCCTGAGTAACAAATTCAAAAAGAGGCTAGGCCTACACAAAAAAAAAATTGTGTAAATAGAAGAACATACTCCCATTGGATTTTTTAAATGTTTAATACTGTCCTGACATTTATCAAATGGAAAGTAATTTTTCATGAATTTAAATATTCTTCTTTTATATCTGGCTCATATGATCATTTACACATCATATCACAAGGTGTAGGAGGCAACATAGACAAACATGGATTAGATAACAGCTTCCTTCCTTTAAAATAATAGGTAGACTAAAATTAAAACAAACCACCCGAATATTTAAAAACAATTTAAAATCAAAATTTGTTCTTGAACAAAAAGCTCTTGCGATTCCTGATGGAAGGTGCTTTTTACCCTGTTTTTACCCTGTTGACAAATTTTTAGAATTGAATGATCAACAATCTATTTTTATTTTTTATATCCCTACAGAACTCAAAAATTAAACATTAAATGCTTAAGGAGCCAAACATGACACAAATGGAGCCTATCTGGTTACCATAGGAGTGCATAGACCTTAAATTAAAGTGAAAAACCTAAGTTTGTCAACAGTAAATTTGAGCTGATTCACTCCGACAGTCTATTGTCGGTTGTGGAGTAAAATTGTGGTACTTTGTTCGGAGTGTGCAATCACAGGACGAAGTGGACACTTTTGTAAGAGATTGACGACCTCTTTAAACCTCCCATTTTCCCTTTCACACAGACCTTGGTCAAATGTGTGGAACATAACCAAAGCAAGCGGTGAGTCGGTATAGAAAATACCCCCGCCGCAGCGACCTGCAGACTAAGCGAATTTCAACTTGTCTGATTACATATTTACCAAAATATTTCCATAAATAAGAAATTTGTATTCCCAATTTAAATAACATTAGATTTAACGAGTGCCTAGGTTTGCTGCTACCGGGAAGGTAAACAGTGTTTTTTGACCAAATGTCAGTAGTATAGGATGAAATAAATAAATTTGCCAAATTTGTTCGAAATATATCCATAAACAAGTCATCCACAACAGTTTTCATTTTCTCCGTAAGAATAACATGGGAATTTTAAATTTTCCCTTTTTTGAGTTTTCTCTATAACCCTTAGGCATACAAAAATGCTTCAATATGCTTAATCTCTACAAAATGGTTGGGAAATAAATTCCAAAAATTTATGTTTTTCGGGTCTAAAATGGGAAAAACCCATTTTTACCCCATAAAACCCCCCATAAACCCCCGTTCCCATGGTCCGATCATGCTGGTTCGCGAACTTATTCGAATAAATGTAGGTTTATACCAAATTTCATCAAAATCGGATAATTTTTGTTTGAGTTATCGTGCTAATGGACACACACATATAGAATTGAATGATCATATATATATATGCATTTGAACGGATGGTTTTTTTGGCCTCTGGAGACCTCCAAACAAAAAAGTAAATCGGTCTCGGGTCCAGGTCTTACCATGAGACCTACGGTAATAGCTTATTTCCTATATGGGAAATTCGCTAAAATGAACTGAATTGATAAAATTTAGTGGTGGGCACTAACACATGACATCCCTGCTATAAATTAGTCGGTCACACTACCGACTCACCCTGTAGTATATTTATACTTAGATAAATAGCCTGAATATTAATTAACTAATTCTACCCCTTCAAGCTATTAGTTTAACATTCTTACTCTAAAATTTCTGGAAGCTTCATTAAGTTTCATTTTTGCCAAGAACAGCTCTTCGCTGACAAATGTGCTTGCTTTCGTCTCCAGTTCTTGTATGAAAGCGGAGAATAGATTCATAGCGTACTGCTCATGCTGATAGTTGTCTGGGTTGATTTCAGCCCTACAACAACATAAACATGGTTTGTAATGAAAGATGTTTCAACCATCTTTAAATATTTAAAGCTAAGATCATAATAATATATTTTAAAGATTTTTTGCAGAATAAACTAGAGAATTGTTTTTAAACTTGTACCAACAGAATGAAAAATCTTAAGAAGTTGGGCAAGAACTTGTTTTTTCCATCTATAGGTTACGGACGTTGAACACAACAAAATGGACGATGAGTTTACAGAAAAAAGGGTACGAATCTATGTTATCTATAACCATAAGATGTTCCACATCGTTCCCTCCCAGCTGTCACACTGCTCTCTGGGTATGGCTTGAACTCTTGCACTCTGTGACTGACGCCTCAAGATTGTGCAGCAGCAGTGGCAGCAGTGTCAGGGCTACCAACTTCAGGATTTCTATTCACCACTGAAAGTGATTTGTGGTTATTGTAGGCTACTCATAGAAGAATAAAATAGGTACTACAGATCTTTCCATATTTGAATACTATAATTCGAATAATACTTCCAGCTACTGCATGGTATGAAAGCTCTTGTTTAACTCAATGCACTATCAGAGCCAAAGGTCGTAGCGACGTGCAGTGTGCTGCAAAGTGAAAAATAAACCTATCGTCTAGTACCACCTGATGGTGTGTGGTAGGTTAAGATACCTTATATGGCTTATAAATTGACTTATAGCTTATTAAAATCTTACATCTTTTCTTCAATCCATGCAGCGAGAAAATGCCGGACTTCAATGGGAAAGTGTTCACCGTACAACGCCTTAATCTGGCGCAAGGCAGTTTCAGGAAGAGACTGAGTTTTGGCCCAAAGTGACATCTTGTATCTGGAACAAAATTAGATTTAGACTACGGTACCTAAAAGCTTAAGTTGGTAAAACCAAAACTGCTGTGTTGTGTCATCAGCTGTCATGTGTTTTCTTAACCATGTCTTTAATGGCGACCATGTCTAAGTGGCGTAGTTTGCCTGATGATTTTGGTAACATTTATGATGCAAACATTCTTAGGCCTACGGTAACTACATTAGGTCTAAATCAAATTATTTTTAGTTTTTTTTTTAAGCATTGTTTTGTCTGCACGGAAAATTATTTCCGTATTCACACTTAAATTATACAACAGTTTTTATTAAATTTCCACTTCCGTCCAAAACCAGTGCCGGGACATTATTCCGTTGCGTTTCGGCACCATGACACCCCTGCTATAAAGTAGTTATAATTAAGCTTAGGCTTCCTATCCTCAGTTATTTCAACTTAAAAATTAGGGTTTATAACAATAGTTCATAAAATTCAGTAATAAAATCGAACAAAAAGGTTTATTGTTTTCTTAGGTTTCAAATATAAATGTGTTGAAATAAAGATGTTTGTAACTTAAATGAAGTTTAATCAAGTTCAAGGCCAAATTCCAGGTCAGATAAAGAATGTCAAAAGATGAGTCAAGATATAAGACTGTTTAGAGTTTCCCAACTTCCCTTAAGACCTGTTAGGTTTAGGGAACTGTTCTCTCTAGGTACTCTTAGTCTATTGCCTAACTAATAATTTTTCAGAAAAGGTTTTAATGTTTAATTATCTCACTTTATTCACAGCAAAGTTAGTTTTTGAACAATTAAACTTGTAAATAAATCACAGGATATAAGTTTACTAGGGAACCTGTGCACGCTCAATGAGCCGCATAGTATGAAACTTAACGTTGAGGAAAACTTTGTGCTTCAATTAGAGTAACTGTAGCAACATTCTTAGAGTTATTATAAAACTTGTAACTTGTTAAAAATAGATTTTTAATATCTCTAATTGCGTAGTGTAGGCTCACATACATTTCTGCGCTCAGTTTGTTTCAACTGATTACTTCTAATAAATGTTAAACGCTCTCCTACAATTTGAGTCAACATGTCAAGCCAAATAACTAATTTTTCACTCAATTTATCTTAGTATTGTCAACAATTGGTCAACATCGATACAACACTTGATCAATAGGTCAACCATCGATGTACCGATAACATTGTCGTGAAAATATCGATGTTTTTATAGATTTTGTCTGCTCTCTGTAATAAAACAGCTAATAAACCTAAAACTAATATATCATGGAAAACAACGATATTTTAATACTTGGACAAAAACATCGATGTTTGACAAAAACAACAATGTAACAAAACATCGGTAATCAATGTAAAAGACATCGACTATCGATGCTCATTCCTAAGTTAGACTGCTCTGGCTTTGACTAGTCCTCAAGACCTACTAAGCTAGCAATAGGACATTGCTTTAACCTATTGGTGCTGACTCACTTGTGTTAAAATAAGCTTTACATTATTCACAACCAATTGACTATATTTTTACTGCCCTTAGTGGATTTAAAGTCTGGGTGTGATTCAAATTATTTATTGAACATAACATCAACAAATAAGCAAACAAAGATAGACCTACTGTTTGTATTATATCTTATGTATGTCCCTACAAGCCACTAAATACAGCTGTACCTGACGATGGCCTATACATTTTTGTAATGTTTTCGGCAATACATGTTTCTGATTTCTGACTAGTTTGTTTTAGCATATGGGCTATCCATTATTAGGATACAGATTGAACATGAACGTAGTGCTGGGTTGATGTGGGCCCTAATATCTGTGTGTAAGTGAGGACAAATGGAATAAAATGTCAAATTTAACAAAACCATTGGGATTGTGCAAGTAACAATCCTTGATCGAAATGTTGTTGTGATAATATAACCGTTTTAGATTATAAAAGGTATAATGTTACCTGGATCTGCCAAAGTAATCCAAATGCTGTCTAACGACTACGCGTTTCGAAGCAGTATAAGCTTCATCTTCAGGTCGTCAAGAACACATTTCACTCATGAGAGGTCGTCAAATAAATATAATTTTTACACATACATGGACGGAGAATAGTTACTGTAGGCCTACGAACCGCGTGCGCGTACTTAGACAGGTTAGTCATGACTGCGGCGGTGAGCGTTGGTCCCGTGAACTTTGTCCCTTGCCGGTCAGCTGTTCCTGGTTAGCTATTACAGTATCATACAATGCGTTTGACTGGAAATTTAGTTTGTCGTTTAATAGATCATAACTATGGCTTTTTGTTGCTTTGTATATTTCGTACTCTTCTATGGCGTTCATGAAGCTTCCTTTTGTGCAAAAATGTAGGGGTGTCATATTTGTTTCAAAATTTGTATAGTTATGATTTTCATTAATGAGATGGGCTGCATAATTGGATTTTAAATGATTTTTTGCTTTTGGAAGGTGTTCTTTGAATCTGGTTTTGAAAGCACGGCCGGTTTGTCCTATATAAAAACTATTGCAATCATCACAGGATAATCTGTAAACTCCAGTTTTTTCACCTGTTTCTAGACTATTACTGGACGAAGGATTAAGTAATCGTTGTAGTTTGTTCGAAGTTCTAAACGCTACCCCGATGTTCTTCTTTTTTAGTTCGTGTTTCAGTATATTCGGCAACCTTAAATACTGCTCTAAATAAAAGTTTAACGCTATTCACCGACACAGAAATCAGGAGACTAAAACCCATCAACGCCAAAGCACCACGACTCAAAGGTTTACCGAAATTGCATAAAGATAAAATTCCCATTCGCCCTCTAGTGAATTACATGCCAGCACCCAGCTACCAAGTCGCTAAAAGCCTAGAAAGGATAATTAAGCAACAAATTATTATACCTAACAGTCATAGTCTAATTAATAGTATGGATTTAATTCACAAAACTAGTAACACTGAAATCAAACCTAGATATACACTGGCATCGCTGGACATAGTTAATTTGTACACAAATGTACCCGTGGCATATACAATCAATATCCTAGAAGACAATCTAAAGAGCAATTCTAATCTTAGTGAGGAAGCCATTAATGAACTCATCGCATTAACAAAAATAGTAACCCAACAGAACTACTTCGCCTTTAACAATGAATATTATATACAAAACGATGGACTAGCAATGGGATCCCCACTTTCAGGAATCCTAGCTGAAATATATCTGAACAGTTTCGAAAACAATAACATACGGACAGATAACAACCGCTACAAAGATAAGATTGTATTTTACCACCGATATGTTGATGACATCGCAATCCTGTATGATGGCAACGCAAGACAACTAGAGATATTTATTTGAATAAAATGAATGAGGTGAATGAGGTATTTGAATAAAATAAACCCTAGCCTACAGTTTACCATAGAATTGGAAAGCAACGACAGGTTAAACTTTCTTGACATAACACTAATTAAAACAGAAAAATCGTTTGAATTTGATATTTACAGAAAACCTACGCTAACCGACACAACCATCCATGAAACTTCACACCATCCTACAACACAAAAAATGGCAGCTTATAATAGTTTCGTTCACCGATTACTCACCGTTCCATTAAGCCAAGATAATTTTAACAAAGAATTAAACACGATAAAATACATTGCCCAAAGAAATGGGTTTAAAACCGCCATGATCGATAAACTTGTCAAAAACCAATTAAAAAAAAAAACCGATATTAACAGAGTAGGTGGCCAAATTGACAAAATCTTTGTAACATCAGAGTATGGTACAAGGCTGCCGAATATACTGAAACACGAACTAAAAAAGAAGAACATCGGGGTAGCGTTTAGAACTTCGAACAAACTACAACGATTACTTTTAAATCCTTCGTCCAGTCACCTTTCGTCTAGAAACAGGTGAAAAAACTGGAGTTTACAGATTATCCTGTGATGATTGCAATAGTTTTTATATAGGACAAACCGGCCGTGCTTTCAAAACCAGATTCAAAGAACACCTTCCAAAAGCAAAAAATCATTTAAAATCCAATTATGCAGCCCATCTCATTAATGAAAATCATAACTATACAAATTTTGAAACAAATATGACACCCCTACATTTTTGCACAAAAGGAAGCTTCATGAACGCCATAGAAGAGTACGAAATATACAAAGCAACAAAAAGCCATAGTTATGATCTGTTAAACGACAAACTAAATTTCCAGTCAAACGCATTGTATGATACTGTAATAGCTAACCAGGAACAGCTGACTGGCAAGGGACAAAGTTCACGGGACCAACGCTCACCGCCGCAGTCATGACTAACCTGTCTAAGTGCGCGCACGCGGTTCGTAGGCCTACAGTAACTATTCTCTGTCCATGTATGTGTAAAAATTATATTTATTTGACGACCTCTCATGAGTGAAATGTGTTCTTGACGACCTGAAGATGAAGCTTATACTGCTTCGAAACGCGTAGTCGTTAGACAGCATTTGGATTACTTTGGCAGATCCAGGTAACATTATACCTTTTATAATCTAAAACAGTAATCCTGAGACAAGAAACAACTTGAAGATAACCGTTTTGTTGGTTCGGAGTCCTGTGCAGTAGTGGACCTGGAAGTACGGTGAAAAGGTGAGAGGCTGGAGGGTCTGAGATGAATGAAAATGGACAGTGAGGTGCCAGCGCAACTGCAGCATGGTGTACGGAGGGGGGGGGGGGCATTGGCTACCACACTGCACGCTCTCGCAGCAAAACAATAAATACAGTTGATGTGTCTTTAGGAGGCTCAGAACAACTAACTGAACCTACGGATCCTGGCTCAGCTCCGACCGCTACAGCTGGCGCGTTTCAATGGGAAGTGTTTTAAGGATTTACAGTCAATGTTAAAAGTCTACAAATTTGGTAAAATTAATTGGTGACCGAGGGAACTGCAGGCAGAGCATCAATTCCTTCCCCAATGGGTTAAACCTAAAGCTTAAAGGTGAAGTAGCCTGGTATTATTAGTCTCCAACCAATCTTCGAGGGCCACATTGTAAATCTTTGAATCCAAGTCGGGCCGGGCCAGTCATAAGTTATTTCGGTGCAAAAATTTGCACCCGTTCCCTGCCACTTAGGCCAATAACCACAAAGTCGTAATTATGAATTCAAGAATTTAGTGGTGGTTTTTGAGATCATGCTTAGGTTAATTTGTGTTTGCTATACTGTATTACCTTTAAATATAACTTGTTAAGATAGCTAACTAAAATTACAGATAGGCCTAGTGACAACATAGGTCATAAGTTAGTGACCTAACTTATACTACAAAAATACTAATTGTTTAACCTATTGAACTTTTTACTAATGTCAAAGGGAACTTCACAATACAGGAGTTTACTATACTGTTTCAAGTGTTAAGCAAATACAAAAAAAAACATTAACTTTTAAGTGGAAATATTGCATTTGTCACATAATATCAGCTAATTTAGGGTTGCAATTTGTTGTTCTGGTGATAATTAGGATTGATTTCAAACGCCCATCTAACTAGACAGGATCTGTAGGGGAGAGTGGGGCACGTTTGAACATGGGGCACATTTGAACGGTTTAAATATGCCGTCATTTTTATACTCACAGGCCATTGGACCAGCTGTAAAATGTAGCCCTCAAATAGGACAACAGGTTGCATTCATCTCTCTCCATTTCTGATCAGTTCTTAGTTTGTTGTTGGGAAAAGAAGTTTTAGAGCACCACAAGAAAACTTTTTTAGCAGTAGGGATTTGTAAATTTTCCATAGCAAAACTAGGCCTACATTACAGAAAAGTTTGATCCATTTACCTTATGGCTTGTACATATTTAGATACAATTATGCATTTCACATTGATAAATTACAATTCAAGGAAACATCATTTAACATTTTTCCAAAATAAAATGGTACATAGTGGTGTGGATTTGAACAGGAGTCTGAGGGGTACATTTGAACACAATGTTTTCCTCTGGTAAGCATGTTGTTCAAGTGTACCCCAACTGATTATACTTGTTTCCTATACAAGACAGTAATGAATCATAATAATTCAAGACTATTTAAGCTTCCTCAACCAGGAGACGATGAGTATGAGAACTGCACGTGCAGCAAACAAATATAATTTTGCTATTAACTTTGCAACATTTAGCTACAAATAATGTGAATCTATAACATTAAATGAAGAATTAGTTCCAATAGAAATAAGAACAGTTTTTATCAACTCACATGCATAACAATTTCTGTAAAATAAAAATATTCATTTTACTTAATTAGTGTGTTCAATTGTACCCCACTTCTTGTTCAAAAGTACCCCACCTTTGTGAAAACAGATATTGCACATTAACATATTAACTTGGAGGGTTTAAAAAATAACTAAATTAAAGCTAACATTATGTTACAACTAAATGTAATAATGTTTTTATTAAAAACACATAAATTCACCTATTAAAAAATTAAAGTTTAAAAAATGTGCAAATGTGCCCCACTCTCCCCTACCTATTTAAGACTCGACCACTACATGTTTAGTCCTAGTACTAACTTAATTTTCTCTTATTGATACATGGCAAATAAGACACATATAAGCTTTAAGTCACCCATATTAAAACACAGTATGTAGCCAGCCAGTATTTAGGCTATGGTACGGTACGGTACCTACCGGTAATTTTTTTTTACTTTATTTAATTTAGCCTACAATCTGTTTAAGTTATACAATAAGCAAATGATAAATGATAATACAACATTAACTTGAAGAACATGAGCTAGTGATTGACCACTAGCTAACAAAGAGAATTTTGATAGGCTAACACTTGGTAGCTAATCTGAATGGGAGGTCTAATATCGTATGTCGCTTCAGTCTGTAAATGGTGTCGTGATTGTCCAATAAATTAGGTAAGTGCAAGATGATTTGAATGATTTTCCAGAATTTTCTTGAAAGGGAAAATATGACAGTGACTTGCACTTGAATCCCGTATGGGCCAGGAGTTCCATCAATTAATAGCCAAGCCTCAATTCATTGCCTGAGTTCCATTGGTTCTCTTAAAACGTCATACGGTAAGGAAATTCACCAGTGACGAGTGTTACTGTGATCACAAGAGACGATCATGGTAAGTTATTGCTGACAAGGTCACAATTTATGTTTAAAAACTAGTGTTGCATTGATTGTGGAAAACCATCACAGTTTCGGTTCAGACAAAATTTGAAAAGGTCAGGCCTACCACGACCGTGGGAAGCAATCATGATATCAAAGACACCTCCAGAACAAAGGGGTAACTTAGGCCTACCCTAACTTATGTGATCGAGGGAAATCACATGCTATCAAAAAAGATTTGTTACATTACCTGCTGACTTTCTGCGGGACAGAGAAAAATTTGCCTGCGGGCCGGGTGTAGTCCGCGGGCCCGTAGGTTCGAGATCCCTAACATAGCTTAGGGTCTAGATCTTAAGTTAAATAAGGAATTACCAGGTTGCAGGCTTAAGTTACAAATCAAATGTTTTTGTTGGTTATGCTCACAAACAATTCGTAGTGTGGATGTTTGGTTATGGTAGGCTTGTTTATTGATCTTTGATTTTCTAAGGTAATTCCCAAGATATGATTAAGTAAGTAAGTTAACTCGAAAGCCTAGGCCCTAGTCCTGTTGTAAAAAAAACCTTGAGGGTTATCACTAGGCTAAGTTACCAGATTAAAGTTTTTCCAAAAGGAATAAGAGTGACGGAAATAGAAAACCTGAAACAGTACTTAGGCCTAGAACTACATGTTTCCAACATGAAGTCACAGAGCCTTCGCACAGAAAACTTAGCTAGCCTAGCCACATCAAGGTAGGCCTAGCCTTATTAGCCTAGACTATGTGCGGGAAGCTAAGTCAAGATTTAAGCAATTTAATTAATTACCACTAACGAGTTATGTTATAACACTAGGCCTACTCATAACAGCTTTAGCGAGCAGTTAGTGCCAAAGTAAATATTGCAAAATTGCCATTTGACTGGCTTACTTACCTTCGGCAAAAAATCCCTGTTCAACCAAAGAAATGTTTTCGTCGTGAAACGGACGTGTTTTGACCGAGTGGAAGGAAGATGTTAGTTAAAAATAAATAATGGATTAAAACCTTCCATCAAAAGACATTAATGCACTTCTTGCCCGAATTTTAATATGTTATTCACTTAGGTTTATGATCGGAATTCATAGTCTACGACTACCAAATAAATACTTCGCACTTCGATACTTCAATCAATCACGCACTTTTCATTTCCAAGAACTAGAACCAAGAATGAGCAATAGGAATGAAAATGAGGGAGAGTGGGAGTAGGAGTAGGTCCGAGTGATAGAGAAGTGAGAAGGTAAAGGCATAGATTAAACATACTCCCTTAGGGAGTAGAGAGTAGTCAATGGTTTAATCTTTGAAGTCAATGGTTTAATCTATGGTAAAAGATACTTGTTGACAATCGTAGTAGTTGAATGAGTTGAAACCTCAAAACTCAAGAAAACTCGAGAAAAACCCAATTATGAATTGTTGACTATCTGTTTAACTTTTGGTTTATGAACCTGTCATTCTGGCTGTTAACGCTTTCACTCTGTTTTATGTTCAACGACGTTATGTGAGGGCTAAGATGAAGAATGATTTGTTAACATGGGAGCTGGGTCTGATATTGATAAACAGCTTAGGGAATATTTTATTGTTAATAAACGAGATTGCGTAACTAATAGTTTCAATTTTAGAAATGTCAGTGAAAAATAAGTTATGGGCGTAATGAATTAAATAAAATCGAAAGCAGTGGGTAGTGTTCAATTGAAATGATAAAAACTGTCAGTCCTTATGCAATAAAAATCAATTACCCATCTGATAAACCTATCACTAGACAAAGGACAATATCCAAAGTCCTACATATTGTCTCCCTGCTTATGGAAACAGAACAAATGAACCGAATGCAAAAATTGCAAAACTCTGCAATTCGTTTCATTTTTGGGCTCAAAAGATTTGAACATGTCTCTCCATTTAGAGCTCCAGCGAGGATGTCAACAGTAGACACTGTTTGTAGGATTATGGCGTGCTGCATGGCGTGATTATGGCTTGTCCTACAGGAGCCACAGTACCTTCTTGAGAGTCTCTCTTCCCAGGAGGAGGTGTCTCAGCGCAGTACCCGCCGTGTGGGGGCCTCCAGCTTCACTTTCCAAGGCTTGAGTAAGACCTCTTGTTTGCGCCATTCAATTTCTCTTTGATGAATTTTGATGAAATTTTGTTTGAAGGCGAAGGTGTAAGGCGGGATAAACTTGAATGAGTTCGCGAACCAGCAAGATCGGACCATGGGAACGGGGTTTTATGGGGTAAAAATTGGGTTTTCTAATTTTTTACCCTTAAAACATGAAATTTCCCAATTTTTATCTAGACCTACTTAAGGAGCTTAAAAAAACAAATAATTCAATATATCAAAGTGTTTTTGTACGATTATTGGTTACGGAGAAAACTCAAAAAATTGTTAATTTAAAATTCCCATGTTATTTATATCGATAATATTGTAAATTGTTGGAGTTTGTTTGTTTATGGATATATATTTTGATCAAACTTGGCAAATTTATTGATTTTATACTAAGCTATAATTATTTTACTTAAAAACACACTTGATTAGATTAGTTTCCTTGTAGCAGCAAACCTAGGTACACGTTAGTTAAGACGGCAGGTTTGCTGTGGCGGGGTATTATAGCTTTTAATGATAATGATCGGAAGATCCATATTTTGAAGAGTAACATAGTATAAAAACACCACTAAAGGAAACGGAAATTGCTTATAAAAAGAGGCTCCTATGCTCGAAACTCGAAACCAGCAGCAAAGACTTCCAAACGGTCGCCATGTTGGTTTTATCATCTTGCTTTGTAACTTTGTGGACGCTGCAACGGTTTTATAGTTTGGTGTAATGGTCGGTGAAATTTAACTTAAGTGTCTGTTTTGTTATTGTTTATTGTGTTGTGTAAGTAAAACATTCAAATTCTTTATAGGCTAATTAATTATAGGGTTATAATTTTAGTAATTTCATTGATGAGTAAACATACTTAACTCTGTATTTAGTCAACATCATGTATTTCAGTTTGATGATAAACTCTTTATTCATAAAGATACGCAAATAATCGTACATTTTCATATGAATGGAAAAGGAACCAGTAAGTTATGCTATGCCTACATAGCATTCAAATTAAATCGATCGCCGACTAGGACTAGGCCTAGGTTAAAGTCATTGTACCATGATAGGCTAGGCCTATATCTCGTTGGAAAGCTAGGCCTAGGCTACTCCTTAGGCTAGGCCTATGTGTAAGTATGTAGTTCTAAATTGTGGTGGTAAGTAAATATTAGCCTACATTATATGCATCCATATCTTTCCACAGGTTTTAACTTATCTTAATTTTTTGAATAATAATTTTTTTGTTTCTGCTGGTGATGCTGAGTTAAACCCATAAAACTCACTAAAATCGACAACTTTGAACATACTTAAATACGGTAAGCTAGGTTTACATTCCCTTTGTAGAGGTGGCGTAATAATTAACACGTTCACTACGCTACGAGATCCCGAGGTCTCGTATCGTACCTAGCCCGTGGTGCAGAACCCATAATTTGGCTTCTTTCCTAAGGTTACGACATCGATATTTTGGCGTAGGCCTACAGTTATCGTGAAGAAATGAAAGTTGTACATAAACATATAACTTAATGCATTTTTCTTGATGTGTGAACAAGTAAACATGAATTGAACGAGATCAATAGATCTTGTAACGCACTCAAGTAATAAACCTTTACTTAAATACGATACGAGACCTCTGGGTCTTGTATCAAAAATAGTTGTTCCAAGCACCACATGAGGCTAATGGGGTGATTAGTAGTAACCATGGCCACCTTTGTTGAATGCTTGGATGAAAGAAGGAACCCAAGAAATAATTCAAGATCAAAGTTATCTAATGTTTTATAGGTTTACATGATAATTGTTTTCAACTACTACGGGAACATAAATTATTTTTAATTATCGATGTGTTTCTCTTCTAAAACAGCACCAAAGGATGCGTAATAAAGGACATTCATTGGTAAATGACCTAAAATATCACGATTGTGCAATGTTATATTTTGATGTAAAAAAGCAAATCATTCCATTAATTTGAATAGGCCTATTTCTCCTGGTCCCTACTAAATCATACAAAAATCGATGATAAATAATTGCCAAACCGGACAAGGAATATCCGATAAACAACTTTGTATCATTGTTTTGCTATTGAAATCCCCTTTCCAAGCCTTTTAGGGAAGTGGTACAAGTCTAAATAGGCCTATAGCTTCAAGGTTGCACCCACACCCACCCCTTCCCCCTGCCAACACGACTCAATGTGGTTGCACTCATTTCGAGGTAACAATTTCGAGAAATAAATACAGTAGGACGTAATTTATTTTATTTCATTTCATTTATTTATTTCGTAAGTGTAAACATATTTCACTTGCATTTTGTTTAGCCTGAAATCAGCAGTAAGGAAACACGTTAATATAAAATGTTATAATAGAAAGATAAAATTTATATTTTACTACGGTTACAATTATTAGGGATTCGTATATAAACAGATACATATTTATTTTTAATTTGTTATGGTAGGAAAAGAATAAATACAAATGAATAATAAACTACTACAGCTGTGTGGTACATGATCTCAGGGTCTCGTTCAATGAAGTCATATTCACTTCCTGGGCTGGCTGAAGATTATCAACATTGTATGGTTCACATAAACAAACACTCAGTGCTTCCTCTCTCCTTTCATTGTGAGGTTATGATGCGCAACAGATTACTGGGCAATGTAATCTCGGGGTCTCGTATCGCACCTGGGTAATCATAGGGGACGAGACCTACAGTAAAGAGCCATTTGAAGTGTAGTTCAAGAAAGTTTCAGCAGTTTAGTGTTTTTTATTTGTCGAATAATGGCAAATTACGTAGAAAATTACAGTGCAGTACCTTTGTGGAAGAATTAAACCTTGGTTTTCTTAGCTTTACCTGGACAATTTTTTTCTTTGATTCTTAAACTTACTCCTTCTAGATCCACTACGTAAATCCATGTTACCACCACATTCTTAACACTTGTTAGCTTAGAGACTCTTTCACGAGTCACAGAAAGATACCTGAAATACGTTTGAACAGACATCTTTACAGCGGGACGGGAGCTAACTTTCCAATCAAATATGTCTAGAAGTTAAACCTAAAGTGGCACTACGTTGACTAACTGGTGCAGTTAGTGACACCACGCTGACATAATAAAAGTCCAGTAAATTTCAGGTTGGATTTAAACTGACCTCTTTTTGTCTGAGCAGTTGCGGTTAATCTATCAGTTGATCCAAGATCGGTTAAGAGAGAGTCTAAGTAATGATGTTCTTGAGGAGTATAAACCTTGGAAGTTAATTTCAGAAGAATTGAGTTTAGTCCTGTAATATTCAGTAGCTGTGAAAGATAAATAGGTAGGCCTATAGTTATAATATGTTTATAAAGTGTTATATCTATCAATACTAACTTATTGATCATGTCAACAGATTTCTATTTAGACTTTACGCTGCAATGGAAGAAGAGGAATGTTTACCACAAGAAGAATCTGCTTGGGCAGATGAATTAGACGTAGACATATCACAGTTGTGTCGCATTTGTGCCAACCCAAATGAATATTTGATCCCAATTTTCCATGGTGAGGGTAAGGAACACGAGCTGGAGGAAAAAATATCAAAACATCTTCCAATAAAGGTAAACAACATGGTCTTTGCTTTCCTTAAACTTTTAGCGAATATAGTGAATATCTGTGAATTTCCCACTTAGGGAATAGGCCTATTAGCGAATTTCCCATATGAAATAATCTATTAAGTTATTGTTGGTCTCATGGTAAGACCTGGAGCCTGGACCAATTCACTTAGTTTTATGTTTCCAGAGGCCGAAAACACCATAAATTCAAATATATATAGGCCTAAACGTGTAAACCCGTTGCTCGATTTGTAAAAAAAAGAGGTGCCGAAACTGTAACCTATTTAGGTATGTGATCAGTACCTATTTATACCAACATTTTTATCTTTCCGAAAGATAGGTACTGGATCTTTGTTCTATCGCGTTCCCCCGCAAATCGAGCACTGTGTACAAACCTATGTTAATTCATCCAGTTCTTAAACCAGCATGACCGTACCATAAGGTTTTATAGGGTAAAAATTAGTTTTTCTCATTTTGACCCTCAAAACACAGAATTTCCCAATAATTTATAGCTTGAAAACATTTTGTAGAGCTCTAAAAAACAAATAATCCAGTACCTATATTAATTAGAGGTTTTTGTTCAATTTTAATGAAAAAATTGTAAACTTAAAAATTTTAGTATGTTATTCTTAATGGAGAATAAGTTAACTGTTGTAGTTTGTTTGTTTATGGATATATTTTAGTCAAACTAGAAAATAAAAATGTATATTTTCATACTAAAAGAAAACTTATTAGGTACATTTTTACTGAAAAATGATTAACCTCATTGTAGCAGAAAACCTAAGTACACGTTAAACCTAATGTTACTATGGACTGATCTATCTATTCTTGTCGTATTTAGTGGCAGTTTGGGGCAGTGAGAGTGTTCGAACAAAGTTTGTTTCGTCTTTCTTGAATTTTAGTTATAATCCATTGAGGTTCGCTTTTTGTTAAATTTTAGTTGTTATAATATTATTAAGAGTTTAGTTTTTATTTATAAGACGCTATACAGATTTTCTGTGAAAAATAGAGATGATTTTATTTTGTTTAGGCTATTTTAATAGGGAACAAAAATGAGACATGATTAAGAAAATATTTAAGTGAAAACCCATCAAAAAAAAAGAATTAGTCTGCAAGTTTGCTTCTGCGGGGGTGATAAAAGTCTTTGATAGTATAAACTCTTTGAGTTTAGCACCAAAAAGACCCTGTAAACTTCTTGTAGAATATTCAAAACTTCGCTCAAAACTGGATAACGTATGATCATAATCCAATATATAACTTAGGTGGTACCAGTGTTGGGAAGTAGCGTTAGCTGTAGCTAGCTACATTTTTAAAGTAGTTGTAGCGGAACTTTAGCTACTTTTCTCGCTACATTAACATTGTTTGAGATAGTGATTTTTATCATAACCTCAACCTTACGTGAAACAACCTCTTTCAAACTGAGATTTTCAAAAAAATTAGGCCTACTTCCTTGGCGTCATACAGCTGGTTGCAGCCGTTTCATTCCCTATTACAACTTGTGTGGACATGGAGGCCATTAAATGAGTGTTATCCACATTTTTGGCTCTCATTTCCTTAATTTACTACTCTATGATTACTGTCAGATAAAATAAAATCGCTAGTTGCAGACGACGTTTAAACGATACCGGTGACAAGAGAAGCTATTGAATGCTTGCAAGTGATTGACAGGGAAATTAGTAATCAATTTAGTTTCTTTATTATATTGATAGTATACCAACTTGGGTTTTAATGGAAACCAACACTAAACCTTAAAGTAATGAGAAAGCTGGTCTAGCTTCAGCTGTTGATTATGGTTCGTCATCACAAGCCCTTCCTTGGTTAGATTACGAAAATTGTTCAAAGGTTTACTAAATGAACAAAGAGGAAATTACCTGATGAGATTTAAGATATGCCTAGACTACATGATAATTGTAACGAAAAAATCTCCATATAACATGAAACTTAGATTGAAAAAATAGCATAGTTTACTCCTGCTAACAGCTCTTGTATAGGCCTATTCCTAGGCTATGCTATGGGTTAAGACGAATACCAAGTTCAATTATTAGGAATATATCTGTTTAGTCCCTTGCAAGAACAAGCCTACTATAGCCAACTTTGTTACATAGCCAAGTAGGCCTACATGTTATTTTTACTATACAAATTTCAACATGTTTAAATCAAAATCCGATTTCAGGATAGGTAACTTAAGTTGCTGAATACTGTTTTCTGTACCAACTAGGTTGAAGCACAATTTGCCCTATGCATAATGACAATAAAGGACGATTTCTTGATATTGAAAAGTGTTATTCATAGAACAAGTAACTTATCACTATGGTTAAAAGTTATAGCAATGTCGTTTTTAACATTAAAAGTAAAGAAATGCAATAAACTCCAATTTCAGGAGGCTAGTCTCTGTAACACAAAAAAGTATTTTTAAATAATCGTTTTACAGTTTTATTGGTCTTAATTGTTGATATAAGACATCTATAAATGAATCTATGTTAAAGAAATAAAATGAGCTTTTAAAATATAGTTTTTTGTATGTCCTTTGAACTTAATGAAATTTACATATAAGATGCTTAAAAATAATGCAATATTTAAAAATAAGTACTAAATATGATGATGGGACACCCAACTATTTGGTTCTGTTGTTGTAATTTTAGGTTTATAATGCCAACAAATTAAATACAATCTAGGAATAATTTGTTTTCCAAGTAATGTTAGATACAATACTGACATTTTTTGTTTAAAATGTTTGTTCAATAAAAATGTAGTTGCAATTGATTTTACATTTACCTAATGTGCGTGGAATAAAAAGTAACGTCTTTGGAAGAAAAGTAGTTAAAATTGTAGCTGTAGCTACATTTCATTGTAGCTGTAGTTGTAGCTAGCTACTTTTTCGGAAATGTAGCAGTAGTTGTAGCTAAGCTACTTTTTTGGAAATGTAGCAGTAGTTGTAGCTAAGCTACTTTTTTGGAAATGTAGCAGTAGTTGTAGCTAAGCTACTTTTTTGGAAATGTAGCAGTAGTTGTAGCTAAGCTACTTTTTTGGAAATGTAGCAGTAGTTGTAGCTAAGCTACTTTTTTGGAAATGTAGCAGTAGTTGTAGCTAAGCTACTTTTTTGGAAATGTAGCAGTAGTTGTAGCTAAGCTACTTTTTTGGAAATGTAGCAGTAGTTGTAGCTAAGCTACTTTTTTGGAAATGTAGCAGTAGTTGTAGCTAAGCTACTTTTTTGGAAATGTAGCAGTAGTTGTAGCTAAGCTACTTTTTTGGAAATGTAGCAGTAGTTGTAGCTAAGCTACTTTTTTGGAAATGTAGCAGTAGTTGTAGCTAGCTACATTTTAAAAGTAGCTTCCCCAACACTGGGTGGTACAATTATAAAACCTGTCGACAGGTTGCTGAGAGTGATACACTACCCACAAATCTTTGCTACCAGTGTGCGTCCACTCTGATAGCTTGGCATGACATGGTAGTAGGATGTATAGAAGCAGACGACAAACTGAAGTCTGTCTCCGGCAAGGACACTAAGGTAAGTGGACTGAAAGTTTATACAGTAGCCTATAATGCTGATTATTCAATGGATGAAAAAGCGCTTCAAAAGTTTTCAAAATTCTGAATACACTTTAACGTTCTACAGAAAACATGCTTACACTGCAGCAATGGTCTATTGTAGCTATCTGCTGGATTTGTACGCCTAAACTAAATCTAAAACTTACTACTAACTACCTTGTGCTACAATAAATTTAACATTAAATTAAGGAAGAAGAATAAAACTACTTGCCTTAATCTTTAAAGTTACTGGAATATTTTTCTTAGTTCCTAGCAAAGTTGTCGGACTTAATTAGGTTATTTTATGTTTACAGACAACCGATGAAATCACAAAAAATGACACCGAAGTTGAACAGGACAGTAACTCTCAACAAGCTAGTGTTCCAGAAATGCAAATTAACAACGCTGCGTATATTTTACAGGTAACTACAGTTTCGTAGATTTGTAGTTAATGGTTGTGAACTTAGTCTAAAATCCTTTATCAATGCAATCCACTATGTCACCCTTAGTAAACTATTTTCATGATGTCTTGATGCTTTACTCGATAATGTCATCAGGGTTTACAATTTTACTGAATGCACTTAAAAACATGCACATTTAAAAGACAAAATACCTCTGCTACAGCAAACCTGCAGACTAAGCAAAGCGAGGTTCCATTTTTTCAATAATATGCATCTACATGAAGGTAGTCAACCGTAGTTTTAGTGAAGTATTAAAAACTTAGTAAAAAATACATAAATTTGATCAAAATTATCCATAAAACCAGCAAACTGCAACAGCTTACCTATTCTCTGAATAACATGGAAATTTACATTTTTTTTCTCAGTTACCATTAGGAATACAACAACACTTAAATGTACACCTAAATGTACACTTTTTATGTACACCTTGTATGTGGTGGTGTTCCATGCTTTTGTAAGTTTTACAACATTTTTTGCAAGTATCTCTTTAAATTTTGGAATAGCGAGTTTATTGTCTTACGTTTGAACACTCCTGTTTCAGTTATTATTTTCTTCTTTTACTGAAAAATTGATTGTCGTTTAAATATAAGGGTGAAATGATTGGATATGCTGATAATAATGACATGTTGTAAAGCTATATAGTTCCTGGCAGCACATATAGTGTTATCTTAAAAAAGTGGATGGATTAAACAGTTCTTATAAAAAGATTAGTCGTATTTAGAAGTATTCGTGATGTGTTAGCCTACTCAGTTAAAAATCCACTTACTACAATACAATACGCTATACTGCAATACTGTTATTTCTTACTATCTGTGTAAAAAATTTTAAAGTTTTCCAGTGTATTGTCATTTTATCACCGTAACTGAAATTATTAAGTCTTGCCCATGAATAACAGTTGTTTTTATTTACAATACTTTCCATTAAACATTAGTAGGTCGCGTATTACAATCGCGACTCACCCTCAACCGGCGCCGTATCACGTGTGTTGTTACCGTCGTCTGGTCGACCAATATTAAATGTTTCGTGTTTCCGTGTGTTATGTGTTTTGTTCTCTATTTATTATTAAACTTTTGACGAACTCCACTGCGAGGAATATGAAGACTACTTGACATTCTTCTGACCTGATGATGTGCTCCATTCGAAGCATGAAACAGCTGTAGTCTTACTAACTACAAAGGATCGCTTTGACAGTAACAAGGTAATTTAAACCACTATATAGTTAATGAATTGTTTTAATTTTTCAGGAACAAGAACCGGAATTGACTTCATCAGTAAATGAGGAAAATGTAATAGAAGAAATTATTCCTGCTGACAAATTTGATGTTATAGAAGATAAAACTGCAGATTCAAGGTCAGTGTTTTCAAAATGTTATCATTAGTTTTAGGTTAATTACTAGGGTTGCTCGTAAACTAAGGCCTTTATCAAGTTCATGCTGCGACCTAATATTCTAGCTCTAATCTGAATCCATCACGGGGTTCTTTACTTCGACCAATATATTTTAGCCGTTTTCAACCTCCTTGAGACAATCCGTCACAAACAACAGGAAGAGAAATAAAACCTCCATCCAAGTACAAATTGCGTTTCGTGTTTGTTTTCTGCGGTCTAAGTCAAAAACCCCTATTGAAGCTCATCGCCAGTGATGGACGTGAATGAAGTTGAGTGGTTGGTTATAGAAAATGTTTGTAAGGGTAAGTAAGTTCAGAGGAGGTCATAGTATTTTTCACAACGTTGACAATTTGTTTGCATGCTGGTAGTTTACCGACCATGGCTGCCGACTTTCATCAGTTGCGTTGAAGCAGTGCCCAAAGTGAATAAAATTGTGCAGTGGTGTGACTAAATGAAAGATTACCAAACTGACGGGTGACAACTTTATAAGACGATCAAGAGCTCACAGTAAACCCTGTTATTCTTTGCAAAATTCTCTTAACTTGAATCTCTGTCTCGGTTGAAACCAATAATTACCTGCTGGACAATCGCGCATTTATTCACATCCTGCACCTACCTAAGCCACTATTGCTCATTTTGTACGTTTTAACACTTTTCTGCATACACATCCTACAACTGCCAACAGATTCCTATCAGGGTGCAATTCCTTTTTGAACAGATACCCAATCACAACATGATTCTTCTGGGAGTGTTGAATTTCCTTATTTTTGTCGGTTCATACGACAAGCAGTTGTCGTATAGGGAAAGAAAACAACTAAAATGTGAATAAAGTAAGGAACTCGTATACTGGTGTCAGATTTGATCTTGCTCGATCGTGTTGAGAGGTTAATTGGCCTTGATTTGCGTGCAACCCTTGTATACAAACCAAGCATTTTTGTTGGTCTAGCAAGATTTCCTGAGTGGGAAAATTCACTCTGGCACAAGAAACCAAAAGTTACCTATCCACTATTTGACCTGAAGACATTTCTTCATTTGGGTTTTGTTTAAGGAAAGGCCCAAGGCCAGATGTGTGATTTTGAGAATAACGGTATAGCAGCTAGCTTACCTTAAAGTAAATCCAGGTAATTAGTACAGACAGAAGACACATCAAATGCACAATAGTATGTCCCGTGACGAACTTTGTCATGTGTAGAATATATTATTTTCATTGACTTGTTTTGTCATTAAGTTTGAGATCTATTTTTTACACCATTTTATTTATGAACACTTTTTTGCGACCATGGAATAAATTATTGAATTGTCTGTGTACTAGGGCTTACCTGGACTTTTCTAAGCTACCTAATTAAACTTTTTTGGCTGAAAAATTCTGTTAGTCACAGTGAAATATTTTTTTATATTGTAGAGCTGTTGTGTTTCCCGTGTCAGGATGAACTCTTGACACATTCAGGTAATCTTGCTCTCATAACATAAATGCTTGAAACATACACCCTTGTGTCAATGTTACATAATTATAACCTCTATTTACAATTTAGAAAGTCAAACTTTGTAACAACCCAACTTCGGGATGATACCTAATTTTTTAAATAGAATATAATAGGGCTAGTAATAATTTAATCTTTTTTAGTGGTTAATTAAGTTTTTAAGCCAATGTCAGATCGTCGGATGTTGAATGTTTTAAATCTATTTTAATGCATGTAGACCAATGTGGTATTTAAGGTTTTTTGGAAGGGATCGGTCCAAACCCTGATCTTGTTACTGTCTGACTTCAACCTGTTTTCAGAAAACATCATTTAGTTTTTATTAAAAAAAGAACATATTAGTGTACGAGCCAGTCAGATTGTGTTACTTGCTAGTGTCTAAATTAAATTTTCTACATTGCTTTTTGTTGCTGACATAGTTGATGGGTTATAACAGTTGCTGTAGCTCACAATAAGTCATTCCAGCAGTTTGACTAGGTAAACAAGTTTGTGTATTCGATAGAAATTAGTAATTTAGATCAGCACAATATGTCGGTGGATCGCATCAACTACGACGATTTTGATAATAAAAACTTGTGACAACCTTTTACATAGGAGCAGCTTTATTACTCAGTTGAATCCATTTTTGATCAATGAGATTTGAACTCTAAGACCAAAGCACCGTGCTATACCACTAGGACCAAAGCACCGTGCTATACCACTAGACCAGCTCACTGTGGAGCGAGCTGGTCTAGTGGCACAGTGTGGGACTTTGGTGCTTGAGGTCCCAGGTTCAAATACCGCCAATCGCCAATGGATTTTATCTAGGTGACAATGCTGCAGCCCTCTAGTAATAGTCTGAAGTAATGCGGAAAAACTATTCCGGGCTAAAACCTAGAGAGGAAAATACTATACCACCCCAATTGCCTGACCATATTTTCTCATAATTAATTAAGGTACCTACACTGGATGAAATATCAACATACTAGATGGATACTTTGATACTTTCTAAACCTTTAATTCGCTTTCTGATGCATTATAAACATTATGTAGAATCTGTTTGCTACATACCTACTCAGACTTAACCCACTAACGACGACTCACAACACAAGTAGCGCGTCAACAGTAACACGTTTTACGACGAATCTGTGTTAAGCCTGTGTTGTCGTCTGCTATAATACATTCCGTTGGCTAAGCCAGGCCAATTACTCGCGCCATGATGGCAATTTCCCTTTTTTAGCTAATATTTCATTTCATTTGAATCTTTCTTCTGGTTGGTATAAAGTTTTTCCATGAGGTTTTTTTCATGGAGAGATTGCATATAAATAAAGACTTTTGTTTGACTTACTAGTTAAGACCAATAGCCTACTTAATTTTAAATCAATAAAATTCAGAAGTGTGGTTTAACAAATTGTCCTGAAAAAAATATTTAATATTTTAAATTCTGGTTTGAACAACAATAGTATGTAGATGTTAAAAAACGTATTTTAGACAAGCTTATTCTGGAGTTAAAAAGTCAAAGTGAAGCTGAAAATGAATTGGAAACTAAAGGTGATTGATGGTATGGTGAAGATGTATAGTTATGAATAAATGCTCATACTAAATACTCCGAGACAGTGATTGGCTGCTTTATTTTGCAGGTTTTTATCCTTCAGAAGCTTTCAAATAGCCTTTTGTGCGCTGAAGGACAAATTAATCAACAAAAAATCTAAGCACAAACAAAGAAAAAGACTTACTTCAGATTTAAAAACACCCGAGACTTGTTCAAAGGCAAATAAAGAAGGTGAAACAAAGGAGAAAGACAAACAAAATTACAATGAAATGTGTGCAAAGTCTAAACACCGATGTACATGTGGACGTGAGTTTACCAGAAATTCCGATCTAAAAAGACACAGTTTGATACATCTAAATTCAGATATCTTCGAAGCAGAGTCGGATAGTAAAGAAAGAAAATTGGAAAACATCAACATCGCTACATATACTTGCAAAATTTGTAATAAAGTGTTTAAAGCCAAATGCAGTTATGAGAGACACATACGAATACACACTGGAGAAAGACCATTCTGTTGCAACGAATGCGGTAAGTGTTTTCGTGACTCTGGATCATTGACGAGACACTCGAAAGAAGTTCACGCTAGGATACGCAACCATCCGTGTAGCATCTGCAACAAGTGGTTTATGAACCGTGCGACTCTAGAGGATCACCAACGAACACACACGGGAGAGCGGCCATTTGTATGTGACCAGTGCGGACTCATGTTTAGGTCTAAGGCTGCGTTGTATCAGCATAGTTCCACACATTCCAGTCATCGGCCCCACACCTGCGGTTACTGCGGTAAAAGCTTCCGTCGCCGACAGGAACTGACCGGTCACTTACCGACACACACCAACGAGAAGACCCACGTATGTGACAAGTGCGGTAAAGCGTTTAGCACCAGGAGTGAACTGCATCGCCACTTACACGTGCATTCCGACGAGAAACCGTTTGCCTGTTTAGTTTGCAGTACGAACTTTAGCCAGAAGAGATACTTGAGGAACCACATGAAGTCGCGGCACGGCCGAACTGAAGATTTGCAAAGAGGCATTGTGCCTGTTGAACGTTTTTAATTCCATACTGTTAAATTTGTTTCTCCGTCCAAACCTATTAAATATTTGTGCTTTTTAACATTTGGTTGAAACTACTTTTTAACCCAGAAACAGTGTAAAATTATTTTAGTATGTTTCATATGAATGTTATAAGAATGTGCATGTTTGCACAATATATTTCCTCTCTAAAAGTGTGATAAACTGTAGCCTTATGGATTAGTGCTGTAAACTAGATCAGAAGGATAAACCAAATTTGTAGCAAATTTGACAAAATAAAAGTGGTACTTATCTCTCAACATTTTTTTGAGTGGTGAAAACAACATTTTGTTTCTTTAGGTTAGAGGCAAGCACTATAAAACACTATGTTTACAGCTAACTGGTCAATGACTGAATGTCACAATGAAGATCAACCTTTGTCTGCATATTGTATCAAAATCCAAATTGTTATCAAGATGTATTTCATATATTCTTGTTGTATACATTGGTTTGTTACCACTATTTTAATTTTAGTGTACCAGTATCATAAATCTTCCTTTTTTTTGTTAAAATTATATTTCAAAGAAATACTGAGAAAAAACTGTTGCAAACACTTTCTAGTGAAAACGTATGCCCACCCTATTAACCATAAATTGTCTACTATATGTTTTATGTACCTATCATATCTACAATGATTACTTATAATTTATACCTCGAAAACATCTAGTAAAACCTATTAAAAAGAATAAAAAAAAGGACAAACTATATAAACAAGTTGAAGATGAAAATATCTTTTATATTTGTAATAAAGTTTCTATCGAAAATTGAGAGTTCCATAATTTCCGTTGTTTGCAGGTGTTTGGGATCGTTCAAAAGTTACCATCAAACTCAGATAGCCTTGCGGATGCTACAGTGGGCGAACCGCAGCTCTGTTTACTGTGTTATCTGCGGAACAAAGAGAGAGAACCAGACGTTGTTGATAAAACATTTATACATTGAGCACAAAATGCAGTGTGGACACTGTGGCGTTAGGTTTACGAGCGAACCTCAACTGAGGAATCACATGGTAACTCATGGAAACTCTGCGGTCTACAAGTGTGACATCTGCTCATTGTCTTTCCTGGACCGATTCAGTCTGAAAAAGCATAAAATCAAGTCTCATTCCAAAGTGTTTGAATTGAACAAAGAGAATGGTGACAGCAACACTAAATGTACACCTAAATTAAAGTTAAACAATGCAAATGATAAGCTTTCGCAATGCAATACGTCTTGGAGTGAAGACAAAGCTTGTTATACCGACAGCGATGATTCTGTTAAAGAAGAGTACGCCAGTGAAGATTTATTCGTAAAAGCCGAAATAAGACTACGTGAATCGAAATTTTCTTGCGCAAAATGTGATTTTACATGTGACTTGAAACGTGACTTGATTTACCACAGGGACAATACTCACAAATCAAATAAAAATGAAATTTATCAAAAAGGAAAACCTCATCAGTGTGACATTTGTAGTAATTCGTTTTTACGAAAGGCAGATTTACAAAGACACATATACAGGGTTAGGCAAAAGTCTGGAACCCCCCAGTTAACTTTTTAACGCGTTGAAGTAGGAAAACCATACTCGGCACATATTTACAACATAAGAAATTTCACTTTTTCATCAAAGTTACAACTTTGACCCAGCCCCCAAAATGGGGTATTCTGGGGGCAGCCCCAAATTTTCAAATGTAAACACCTATCATATGACCCCTCATTTTACAGGGTTTATCAAGAGAAATTGAATGGTGCAAACCAGAGGTCAATATATCACCCCTAATCAAAATGGCAGCCAATTAAGTTATTTAAGATGAGCAAGCAAGATAAAGTCTGAACACCCCCAGTTAACTTTAAAAATTTAATATTTTAATACTGACCATAAGGTGAATTCTCTTTTTTCATTAAGGTATGTTGAGTTTAGTTTTCCTGCTATAACCTGTTAAAAAGATAATAGGGGATACTTCAAAATGACCATTTTGATTAGGGGTGTGATATTGACCTTTAGTTTGCGCCATTTAATTTGTCTTGAGAAATCCTTTAAAATTAGGTGTCACATGATAGGTTTTTGCTTTGAAAATTTGGGGCTGCCCAGCATGTACATGTTCTAATTTTAATGAAAAAGTGATTTTTTTAAAGTTGTAAACATGTGCCGAGTTCAGTTTTCCCACTGTCACACGTTATAAAGTTAACTGGGGGTGTCCAGACTTTATCTTGCTTACTCATCTTAAATTAAATTGGCTGCCATTTTGATTAGGGGTGCGATATTGACCTCTGGATTGCGCCATTCAATTTCTCTTGATAAACCCTTTAAAATGAGAGGTCACTTGATAGGTGTTTATATTCGAAAATTTGGAGCTGCCCCCAAAATACCCCATTTTGGGGGGGCTAGGGCAAAGTTGTCACTTTGATGAAAAAGTACAATTTCATATGTTGTAAATATGTGCCGAGTTTGGTTATCCTACTGCAATGCGTTAAAAAGTTATCTGGGGGGTTCCAGACTTTTGCCTAACCCTGTATAAATTACACTTTGAAGATGAATTCAAGAAAAACAGTTCTAAGGATATGTATCATGAAACTATAAATCGAGCAAAAGAAAATATCGATGGTGTTATTGTCTACCGCTGTGGAATTTGTGGTAAACATTTACGCACCAAGAAAGGTTTCGTTCGTCATACAAGGGTGCACACTGGCGAGCGTCCTTTCACCTGCCACATCTGCGGTAAACAATATAGATCCAACACTGACCTAACCAGACATCTGAGGTGTGTACACGAAGGGGTGAAGAAATACCAGTGTGACATCTGCGGACAGAGCTTCGCCAACAAAGCGACGACTAACGATCACCGCCGGACACACACTGGGGAAAAACCGTTCATGTGCGACGTCTGCGGCAAATCTTTCCCCACTCCCAACTCTATCTACATACATCGTCGGATCCACATGAATTATTTCCCCCACGAATGCAACACTTGCGAGAAAAAGTTTCGGAGGAAACAGCAGTTGATACACCACTCTAGAACTCACACCGGGGAAAAACCTCACGCTTGTAATGTTTGTGGTAAATGTTTCGCTGTGAAGGACGAAGTTACGCGACACAAACGGACTCATTCTAGCGAGAAATCTCATGTTTGTCCTCATTGCGGCTTTGCTTTCGCCCAGAAGCGATATCTCACCAGTCATATCAAAACTCATCACGCTGGATTTTTATGAAATCTTTGATAGTTTTGTATCTGAATATTATAAAATAATTAAAGATTATTTTTATACTTAGTGTGTATATTTCTTTACGAAACAAACCAAATACAAAAGCTAGTTTTAGAACCGTTAAATTTGCAATTCATAAATTACTAGTATGCGATACATTCAGAAGACTAAATTTGTTCTTAACATAATAGTAGTTTTGTAGATCCAAATTTCTTGCTTGTAATTTATATAATTAGAATCAGATAATTATTTATTATACTAAACTGTTGGTGATCTTGAACAACTTTCACAAAAACATAATTGAAGAAAAGGAATTCAAAAAAGAATACTTTTACGTATTCTTTTCAGATTTAATGGGTAAAGTAATCTTGAATAATGGTCGCTTTGTTATCTTCACATAATTAATTGCCAAGTAAATAATGGAATAACAATCTCCTATAAAGTCTTCTCTTGAAATCAGAAATTAAAAAAAAATACTTTAAATATTGAGCTAAAATGCGTACTTAGATCAACGATTGGTTATTGATATCATATACCAACCCAAGTACCAATGATATCATTGGAAAATCTATGGAAATTGGACTCATGGTATGTGTATGATAGAACATATATACAACTTAAAAACAATGTTTTCTTAGAAAATTTGAAATAAAGAAAAAAAGCCATGCATGACTTGATTGATCTTGGGATCAATCATAATGATAAAATTGCTCACCTTCTAGCTATCCGTATCCATAAAAAATAAAAATCCAGATGTACTATAACTTCGATAGCTAGTCTCACGAGGATTATCAAATAAATAATCGTTTTTAAGGTAGACCTCTTTCTCAGGTTTGCAATAACATTAAAATTATCCACAGAATATCCTACGACTATTATAAGTGAGAAAGATTTTATGTATGGATGGATGGATGTTTGTGGCAAAAACGTGAAAAAAACTGGTCGGATTGGGCTGAAATTTGGTGTGATGATAGCTCACATTCCCGATTAACATATAGAATCATTCTTATCTCAAAAATCCTTTTGAGCTCCGCCCCAGTGGCTATTTTTTTCATTTATGACAACATCTAATTTAAACCAACTAGCAACAAAAAGCTGTGTAAATGAGAATTTCACTTTTTTATTGTTTAGGGGCAGTGGTAGAACATTATGGCTATGGTAAGATGTGCTATAATATAGCCTAAGGTAATTCAAAATAACCAAATTTTCTTAAATTGTGTCCTCTCCCATTGCAAAAGCAAAGAACGAGTATAACTGCAATAAGCATTTTATACTTACACGCCAACCCCGTATGAAGGACGGGTACTCTGCTAGTTAGTTATATATATATTGTCTTCTCTAAGGTCAGAAGAATTTGAAGCTTGTAACAAAATAGGTTTTTGTAGAACATATTTAAAAAAAAAATCACCCATATTTAAAATCTATTTCAATTTGAAAAAGAAAAGGTCCAAACATGCAAGATCACAAACATACAATCTCCTTAATATGTTGTGATAAACCAAAGTTGAAGTCTTGAACCTTAAAGTTAATCAAAATTAAAAACTAATCCAACAATCTTGAAAATTGTTATAATGTTGTCACTACTTTGTATGATAAGGATTATATAACTGTTTCAAATAGTTTATTTAATTGAATTATCATTGTTGAAACTGAACCCAGCTGCTGTCCTTGATCATTGGGCTTTCAATAATGGTCCTAACTAATGAAACAGCTGATCTTAGTAACAAAGCTACACAAGGCATCACACAACATTCTACACTCGTCCTCATATATATGTCCCAATCTCAAATGAATATGAATATTTATGAATATATTATCACTACATCAAGGCAAGGACACAATGACACAATACTGTATATTTTAACCTGATATGAGATTAAAATTGAAGAAGATTTCTCAAGTATATTTGCTACAAACTTGAAACAGCTGTGTTAAGTTTGAAGCCATACAAAAGCTACTGACTTATTTTAAGGTCAAACCAGCTACCAAAATAATCATTGTTCTTTTACTTTTTTTCAACTTTTGTCACTCAATCAAGATATTGTACAATAATTTCTGTCATCTTCGGGTTCCTACTATTCAAAATGTGGCTAGTGCTAACGGACATTGGTAAAAAACTATTCAGCACTAAACGGAGCAAACAGAAAACAGCAATGTCGCTAATAGTCAGGTAAATCAATATTATCCGGGCCAAAAAAAAAAACACATTGTAAATGATTGGGTGTTGTGCAACATTCCACGTGCCAAAAAGAGAACTGCGAGGATTGGGCCAATTAACTTAATTTCACTAACAAAAGAGATAAATGAAACTGACCTGATTAACACAGATCATTGTATTGCAGGTCTGTGAGAATGGAAGAACAGATGGAATACAGTGATAATGACTTACAAGACGAACTTTTGAGTGACCGCGAAAGTGATGAGGAATATGGTACCCTGTACAACTGCAGTATCTGTAAAGCCTCCAACATGGCACTCAAGGACTTTTTAGCTCATTCTAAGAGGCATACTAAAGAAGAGAAGCAAACTGCTCTTAACGAGATTGTTAATTATAAAATACTTAAAGAACAAGCTGCCAAAAGTTCCGCAGCCACTTTGGGGTTTAGGGTTCAAGAAAGTTTAGAGTCGTCGGTTACTTTATACCAATGCATAGTTTGTGGCCAGGGGAACTTGATGCTGAAACAAGTTGCGCTACACAGTGCCTTACACCCTCACTATCTCGAAAGTCATTTTTGTAGTATATGTCAAAAACAGTTTCCGGACCAAAATAGTTTGGATTGTCATTTTGAGATGCATTTGGATAATCATGACCTAATCTGTGAATATTGTAACAGAAGATTTGGAATGATCAACGAAGTAGAGGCTCATGAGGATTCACATTTTTTAGCAGAATATATTTGTGCCGATTGCCGAGAAAGTTTCAGGTCCAAGGAGCTCGTTTTGGTTCATTTGAAAGAAACTCATTTAAATGATTCAATTTGTTTGATTTGCGACGTTGAATTAAAATCCAGCCGAGTGATCGACAATCACTTTATTTCTCATGTAACTGTTCGTGCGGTGAAAAGATTATCGCCTGGTTTTTTCTGTGATCTCTGCGGGAAAAAGTATGATAGCAAAGTCGCACTGCAACGCCATAGAATTTTTCTTCATAATGATAGGCTTCCTTTTATTTGTGAACATTGTGGATTCTACGCATACCACGAAACGCCTTTGAAAATTCATTTAGGAAAAGTTCATGGTGGAAATGAAGATGGATATGTTTGTTTTAAATGTGGAAATATCACAAATGACAAGGATAAAATAGTAGCACCTTTGGTTGACAAGGTTTGCAAATTGTGTGGTTTAGAATTTAAGGATAAAGTTGTCTTCACAAATCATCTAAAATTACATGGAGAAGTTAAAAGTGTAGAGTCATTCCCCAAAGTCAATTTGCAGCAAACGTCAAAGAGGGATTTGCCTCTTGCATGTAGTCTGTGCGGAGATGTTTTCACAACGAACGATTTCTGTTTGGCTCATTCTTTGTGTCACGTTAACTCAACGTTTTGTGACTTGTGTGATAAACCTTTCAGAAGTGAAACTGCTCTGACGTTTCACTTGAATGAAATTCATGTCAGTCAATCCCTCAAGATTGATAAAGAACGTACCATTTTTCCTTTTAAATGCAAAGACTGTACTCTAGCTTTTAGGTTAGAATTTGAGCTTGAAGACCACTGTGAAACACATAAAGACATTCAGTACCAATGCCACCATTGCTTTAGTGAGTTTTCTACTGATGGTGAACTTCAGGATCATTTAGGTTCTCACAAGGAAGAAATTATGTGAAAAATTAATTCCGTTAAGGAATTGTCAGCTCATGTATCAAGGCGTTCTATTTTAGTAAAAAAATGTTCTTTAAGCATTTTAAAAATTGTATAAGAATTTTTTTTTTATTTCAGTTATCTAGCAAGCAATGTCTTCTGTTGAATTTGGTTTCTGTGAACGCATGTATTATTTTAGCTTTAATCGAGGGATATTTTTGTATCCCAGAAAGAATTAAAGACTGGCTAGGTAGCTGAGTGGTTATAGTGCTCGCCTAGTAATCAAAATGTCGCCGGTTCGATCCTGAGAAAAGTCAGTAGCTTTTTGATGGTTCCGAAACTGGACCCAGCTGTTCTCATTGGGCTTAAATTAGTCAGTAACAAAGCTACACATGTCATCACACACCATTCTACACTCATCCTTCACTGATATTTGGGTTAATATACGCACCTAGGTGGCGTCCCCATCTCAATGATTGAATTATTGAATTCATCATTAACTACACCGATGCTTTAAAAAATACATATTCATGCAAATACTAAATATGAATAATGCCAATGATTCAGTGAAAAGTAAATGTAAAAATTTTTTTAACAAAGCCTATTACTCGTTTTGTAACTTAATTTATTAAAAGGTGCAACTATTTTTATTTTTTTTACTGTTAAACTTGTGTACTAGCCTTGGTAACTAAAATTGTACAAACCTAGTTATGAGCGTTTTAACAAATTATTGTTTAAGTTTTAATTGATTTTGTAAATAAAAATTTATTTATGTACATTGATTGTTGAGTTTGTTGTATTACCGTACCTTGTATAATGAAGAAAATGTTAAACTTTACTTGGTTAACTCTTTAGAACTTTTTTTTCAATTGTTGGAATAACTAGTCCTATTACAGAAATATGGTTAGTTAAAGCATATGTTAAAGTCTGTCATTACTGATGACAAAACTGCATTTATGAATAATTGCATCACTTTCAAATTAAATATTACCACAGCAGCAAACCTGCAGTCTAAGAGAATTTCCATTAGTTTAACACGTTCGCTACTGAGCGTCGCATACATGCGACGCCACAGTCATTGCCACAGACTGAGGTATACATTTGAATCTTACACATAGACCGGCTGTCACTTGGTTAACAGTACACATGGACCACAATCGAAAACCTGTAAAACAGTGATCATTTACATTGTAATACGCTACACTCGTCTTTGTAAATAATTTATTCTTCTTTTTTGTATTTTTTATAACCTTTTGTAATGTCACATATTTGCGATGCCCGGTCTACAGCGAAGACAATAGTGAAAATTATCATAGTTTTCTTTAAATAGACCAAACGTTGCATTTATGCGACAGTTCAATTTTTGTTTGTGTTTTGAGGTGAAAGTAAGTGAAAAAAAAACAACTGATTATTCAAGAACAGTTTGTAACTGAACAAATATAAAAGCTACATAGGATAATGCAGCATACATACTGCATACATACAAGTTAATGCAGTTAATACAGTGATGCAGAAAAGTAAAGACCAGTTTTTCCAACTATCATATGACGTCACCAATCATCATATCCACAGATCAAGCGACGCAGTTGTGCATCAGACATCTCTGTACTCTGTAGATCAATGCAGGGAATTCAGTGCCTTCAAATAGACCGTTACAAAGATATAAGCATTTTAATAACATTAGAACCCCGACGGCAAATATGCAAATATGCGTCGACAGTCTATTTTAATGTGACTGGCCGTCGCATATGTGCGACAGCAGTCTATGGGGGGAAACAGGCCGTACTATTGCAGTAGCGAACGTGTTAATTGAATTTTTCTGAAATATTTAGTCATGTCAAATTTATTCCCTATTTAAATAATAAGGTACCCTATAACAAGTACTTAGTTTTTATTTTTTTAATTATTGTTTCATTGATTAATTAAGAATATCAATCACTATCGATTTTATATTAGGAAACTAAGCACCTAAATTGAAGAATATTTCTGCAGAGGTATTAAGTTTAGTTTGTATAGAGAAATTTAAACAGTGCCTTTCCTGTTGGCGTAGTTGATACATATTTACATTCCTAAACAAACGTTTCAAGAAAATAAGGTTCTTTCCGTAATAAACTATTCACTCCCTAATAACTGTATTTAAAAGATAATTTTAAAAGTTGTTCATCAAACCGATACGATAGGGCGACATTTTTTATTGCCATTGGGCTTTTGAACCGAAAATCAGCTTTAGAAAGACCATGCGATCATTTTATTGATCTAGTTGCAAGGTGTAAGATTTACATATACAAAATGGATTTCCAACATCAAAGAGATTTTCCCTGATGCTCATTGTAAGACTTTTTATTGAACCCAGCTGCCAAGGACACTATTATATTGGTCCAACTCCAACTAAACCTTGAAAAAAAAATCCTCTACCTGATAAAATTTTATGTTATAAAGTTTCATTGATATTTTATGAACAGGAAATGCTCTTTAGGAGGGTTCCACCTATCGGCTGGTTCCGCGACATCATGGTCCCACAAAAAAGAACCTCGTGGCACTATTAAAGTGCTAGTTGAAATAGACTGTAAAACATTCACAAAGAACCAAATTATGCCCTGGATGAACTGAAACTTTGTAATTGTTTCTTTAAATATTTACAAAATCATTTTGAAAATCCGTAAATTAGTATTTTTTACAAGTGATTTTAGCTTCTAAATAGCATTAATTTATCCACATCCATTGCAAGCTCTTATGTTAAGAGCCCAAAAAACACACAATTATTGGAAACAAATTAGTTTTAGAGTGTTGAAAGCTTGTACCGTAGAGGCATGTTTAGCCGCCATTTTGAATTGACCGGGTAGAACCCTCTTAATGCCTGAATATTCAAAGATATTTAGAAAGTAGAAATATTGTTTTTGTTTTTAAGTTTTTGACTATGGGATCATTTTTTATTTTCGTGTGATGAGGTCCGTAGAATTTTAGTCTAAAAGTCACAAGTTTTACCAATTCGGCGGCTTTGTAAAATACAGTTGTAGCTAAATCAAAACTTTAATTATATTGTTTTTGAAACCTTGCTCCTGTATTGCAAACTTAATTGTTAGTAAAAACTTTAAGTGAATTACACTATCCACTTTGACTGGCTGGCTAAGAGTTAAAATGTTAAGCTTCCATCCAAGGTCTATTCTGGGCTCAGTTGCCAATTTTTGTCTGACATTTAATTAATGTTGTTTTAGAGCAAAATAAGACCAGGATTCAGATCCTTCCCTTACAATTCCCCAATGGTGTTAAGGGCAACATTAATTTTTAACGTTTTTTTTTTATTCACTCATACAAAGATTTTCTCTTGTATTTTGACTTTTTTTTGTTTCAGCAATTTCGTCATAGTCCAAACAAACACAAAGGATGAAATCGTAGAAACTATTGAAACCAACGAAGAAAGCATCATGGATGAAGTTGAGGTGTATGAACACCCTGATATAGAAACTTCTATCATTGTCAGTGAATTTGCAGAAGGTTTAGAGGAAGGGCAATACATAGCTTACATCGATGGAGAACTGATACAATCATCTGTGGAAGTGGTTAATCCTGAATTTGAGGACGCCGCAGAAATGGAAGATACTAAGGGCTTCATTTGCGAGGAGTGTAACCAAATATTCATGGACATTGTCGCCTTTCAAACTCACCTGAGTTTGCATCAAACAAAAGGTCATCTTTGCAACTATTGTGACGCAACCTACAGAAGAATAGACCATCTTCAAAAACACATGGAAATCATGCATCCTGAAGCCAACGTAGATTTACTGCCGAAAGTAAAAAAGCCTAACCCTTATGCCAAAACATTCCTATGCAATACTTGCGGGAAAATTCTCAGAAGCAGTATCGCATACGAAAACCATACTTTGAAACATCAAAGCAAGTGTCCTTACCCGTGCGACCTGTGCTCGGAAACATTTCCCAACAGAGGAGCTCGTAGAAGACACGAAGTCAAAGAGCATAATCTACTCACTAAAGAAAACGGAAATCCTGACGGGTATCACGTTTGCGAAGTATGCGGTTTGGAGATGTTTTCTGACGGTGCTTATTACCACCACAAGGACAAGCATGGAGATCCCTACCCTTGTACGTTCTGTGGCAAACTATTCGGAAGCAGAAGTCTCATGCAGGTTCACGCACGACGGCATACGACAGAGAGGCCCTTTGTTTGTTCATTATGTAACAGGAACTTTAAAGTGAAACAAGAATTGAACGCTCACATGAACATACACAAAGATCTACGGCCCTACCAATGTCCTCATTGTCCAAAGATGTGCCGTAAGAGTTCCGACCTCACTCACCACATCCGCACACACACTGGGGAAAAGCCGTTTATCTGTGAAAGATGTGGTCGCGGCTTTGCGCAGGCTGGTGACATGCGCAAACACAGACAATTGCACTTCAGGCCTTCCAAGATAAATAAAAACCTACCAGTATAGCGACTTTTCAATTTTATGTGACTAATTTATTAATATAATTAATTATTTTTACCACACAGTTTTTTCCTCTTGTTTTCCCCCTTATTCACCGAATCAAAATACCAAAAAATTTTTTAAACTAAAATCCCAATGAACGTAAAAACATCCTTATTTGGAACCAAGATGTTTGTGAATAATCAATCAATTTAAGGTGTTGCTTTTAATAAAAAAATGTTTGAAATAGTCAACACAAAAACCCTTTAGTTCACCACAGGCTATTCAAAACTGTCGTCCAAATAACTTATCAACTTCAGAAGCAGCTGGTAAAAATTGTTTTCAAAAGTTAGTAGGCACAAAGAGTTGGTGGGTTAAAAACTTGTTTAATAAAGTATAATTGAAAAACGTAATTCCTTTACATTTAATTGACCAACTTTAGTAATACCAGTATCAGGGGATGGGACAAAACCAGAAATTATGATATTACCAAATTAATAATTTATTTTTATGACAGAACAAAAATACAAAAACTTAGAGATATAAGCCCTCTGGTGTGCCTTCTTTCTTCCGGTAGAGGACGCTTTCTTTTGACTTTTTAAAGTCTTCGTTAGTCACCTTCATTCTTCGCTCTCTCAGAGCCATCAACCCAGCTTCAGTGCAGATGGCCTAAAAAAATCATAGAAATTTTAAAGAAAATTCAAGTGATAAAGGAGTTTTTGGAGAGGACAGAGTTAAACTAGCTTACCTGAAAAAGTTAAGAGTCCAGGGGCTAATCGATTCACAATAAGTCACTTAACGTAAACGTAAAACTGATATTTCTTCCGTAATATAGGATGTCTTCCGAGGGTAGGTCGAAGGGAAGTGATTCAGAGTTACCAACTGTCAAGTGGCAACCAGGGTATAAATTTAAAACGGAGCGATACTGTTAACACACACAACAAATTTTCTCTATTTGCTAACAATTGTCTAGGTTAAAATATTTAAAAGCTAGCTGAGGGCTAATATAATGACTCAGTTTATTTGTTAAATAAGAAAAAAACCTGACACATTCCAATCTGGAATATCCAGGCATGGATATTCAAGAAACACATCAAGTATTTATATATTTGCCAACCTATTCAGCCTATTATATTAATAACAAAACGGCAACATTCCACAAATTATATACTTAGATTATGAAAAGACGTTCAGATTTTGTTTTAAGTCACACCTGATACTTTTGCATATTTTACCTTAATATCCGCTCCTGACAAGTCATCCTTGGCCATGATGAGCTCGTTGAGATTGACACCCTCGGCTAAGGTCATGCGGGACGTGTGAATATTGAAGATGCGACGTTTAGTCTTCTCATCGGGAAGTGGGAACTCTATCTTGCGATCAATACGACCAGGTCTGATCAAGGCTGGGTCGAGCGTCTCGATGCGGTTGGTTGCCATAACAACCTGCAACAACCAATTGTTGATAATCTTTGTTGTATGGTTATTAAAAGTACAATAGTGGAAGGTTCGTTCAATGTTAAGTTTTTGTGAACATAAAGGTTTTTGATTGAAAGAGCAATTATACCAGTTAATTGATTATAATATACAAAACTGATTACCAAGATCGGGATTAGAACCCTCAATTTCAGGTGTTTTCTTTGGGACAAGAAAACAGCTTCTTAGACTGATTAAATATAACTAGACTAAATCTAGCACTAAAGTTAAGGAACTTGTCAAGTGTTAGTCTTCTGTCGCTAATTTTAAAACAACAAAGTACCGATACGTTTTTTTAAAGGAAAGGCTCTAGGTCAAGATTTTAATTATTTAGACTCAAGGGATAGCAGCTAGATTACTTAGAAAGAGTCCTGGAAGCCACATAATATGAAAACCACAATAACTTCCAACGGACAAAATATTGTGTATTTTCTGTGTCTTCTGTAATTAATTACTCTTTCAGCCTTTGACTCTTTCTAAGTTACCATAAGTTAGAGCTAGTCTTATATTACAAATGCAAGTTTCTGGGGTTAACCAATAAAAGTGAGGAAAGAAACAAATAATAAAACGATTGATAAAAACTTATTCAAATAAGTGGGACATTTTACATCAAACCCTGGGGTAAAGTGTATTGTATTTTTCAACATCATGAATTATTTATTAAGTAAGTGTTCTTAAACGGAAAACTGTTTTTAAGCTCTGCCTACTGATATTTTACATCTTGAGTTCCATTCATCCTAATATGTGACTTTGAAAGCTATGGATATATTTCAAAAAGTCACCACTGTGTAATACAATACTTAAGAGCGTAAGCTACCTTAACATCTCCTCTTGAGTCGAAGCCGTCCAGTTGGTTGAGAAGCTCCAACATTGTTCGTTGGATCTCTCTCTCGCCACCAGAGTTGGAGTCGTAACGCTTGGTGCCGACCGCGTCGATCTCGTCAATGAACACGATGGAGGGTGCGTGCTCCTCCGCTACTCGGAACAACTCTCTTACCAGCTTCGGACCATCACCCTGACAAAAAAAATCATGCCAATAAGCAATTGGTCTGAGAATAAGAGTAATTATTCCAGTTTTGTAAGAAAATACAAGAACCCCTACTAAAATCAATCAATAACCTAGGCAGAATAGCCAAATAAGTTCATACATTTTTGGTTGACCTAGTTATCTAGTAATGTATTCCGGAAATTCAATTTGACATAACAAGTAGCAAATGCCTCCATGTCAGGGGCTTGGGATGCAATTATTTGAAAGCCTGTGTATAGGAAGGCCTTTACAAGATAACGTAAACTTTTTCTGAATCCATTCTTAGCTCAAATGAACATTCCATTTCGTAGCGTTAACATGTCAACACAGTAGTTTACAAAGCACTGCAAACTCTAACATAAAACTTAACTTAGGCCTTAACGTGCTAAGAATTCAGTGTTCAGGGTGAACCTTGTCAGTTGGAGATTGAGTTCAAAATGTTTGTCCTTTCTTACAAGAGGCATCATCAGGCTATGAGATACTAAGAATGCCTCTTTGAAGTAAAGACAAAGTCTAGAAGCAACTCCAACTGATGACTGAGACACCAAAAACTCACAGTAAAATATTTTAACACAAGCGAAAAAACATATGAATAAAGATAGATCTAAAGGCTTAAATTAAATTTAATATTAGATAGGGTGTCTGAAATATGCATGCTAGTGAAAACCACATGACTAAGAAAAGTAGCCTAGAATGTTTTACCAAATATTTCTGGATAAGTTCGGAGCCGACGACTCTGAGGAAGGTGGCGGAGGTCTGATTGGCCACAGCCTTGGCCAATAAGGTCTTGCCTGTGCCTGGAGGTCCGTACAATATAACTCCTTTGGGTGGTTTGATGCCCATCTCCTCGTAATATTCCGGATGGGTCAGCGGCAGTTCTACTGACTCCTTTATTTCTTGGATCTGTTGATCCAAACCTAATGAAGAAAAAATACACTTGTCAAAATCGTCCAATTTATTCAAATAGTAACATTTAATTTATTTCAAAGTTCATGTTTGACAGTTTTTAATAAGAATACTCCTACAATTGTTTAGACAAAACAAATTGGGTTTTGGTTTTGTGAACTAATGAATCAGAATATTTATCTTCTAGTGGATCTTAAAACTACCATTGCATAAGGTATGTTTCACAGTAAATAACCATGAATATGATTTTAAATCAGTAACTTAGATAATCAATACCTCCAAATAAAAAGAGAGAATTTGAAGCATAACAATTTCTTTCCATTACCAAATAGGCTATACACTCTTGATTATGAATAATGACCAACATATTATGTAATTTTTACAATAGCTATTGGATAAATCTAGGAATTTTTTGAAAGGAGTAAATTTCAGCCTTCTTAATTATAGTCCGGGGACTAATAGTAACGCAAGAGCTAATGGAACACAGTGTGTTTTAAGAGAACCTTGTATTGTGTTTCCATTACCCCCTGGACTAATTGTTTTAGGTAGGCTAACTATATATTCCTTTAAAAAAAACTCCAAACTATCCACTTTCTTTCAAAAATATTGGATGAATCTGTTATTTAAGTAATTTAACTTGTTAAACAGCCCACAGTTGCTTGTTACAATATTTAAGTAGAAGTTAGGTTATGTTTAGCATACCTCCTATATCTGCGTACGTCTCCTGAGGTGCTTTCTCAAGTTTCATAACTGTAACCATCGGATCTGTGTCATCGGATAACACACCGACCACAGCATGTACCTGACACAAAACAGAGATTTGTAATTCAATAACAAAATAAACTATTCTATTCACTTCAAATTGGAATTGAATTCCCTAGTCACTAAAATATTGTCTGTCGCGGTTGCGAACTATAACAGATTTAGATTTGAATATTTAGACCTTTTACGTTACAGATTTTTTTTATTAGGTTAGTGGTCTATTTTACCCCTGCATTTGCCTGTCCACATAGACTCGCTGCCCGTGCGTGGATTGTATCAGCAAAGCAAGATAAGATAAAATTGTTGTGACAGTGACCATTATCCGATCCTACGACATCGTTGCCTTGGGCCCGAAGTCCGTGACACTACCAACTGAGCCACAAACTCACCACACCACACATTGTCCAACTATGTTTGATTACACTATGTAGCTTGAAAGTAACAAATACACCAACATAATTCCAATTATAACATAAATTACAGATAATTACTACTAAGGAATTGTTTTAGCACAAGATACTGTCTGTATTTACCAAGCTTCCTTTCTTATCGGATACTGATGAAAGTAACACTCGGACCCTGGCAGGGTTTCAATCTACACAAAGTGTGGAAACATAACCTTTAAAAAAATCTTGCAGTTATAGGTTATGTCTCAGTTCTAAACCATAAAAAGGATTTGCAGATAGTTAAAAGTTTCATCTTCAAAAACAAAGTTGCCTCATATAATGGTGTTGATGTTTTGATAGTAAGTGAAGACTACTAGATGTGGACTGTGAAGGAATCTCACCTTGTGATTCAATAGGACAGAACACCCAGGCTCCAGCTGGTCTTTGTCGACAAACGAGAGTATACTGACGTAATGCTCACTGCCGACTGAGGTGGACACTATTGCGTGGTTATCGTCGATGATCTCCTCCAGCGTTCCTACAGACATCGGCGTTCCTCTCAGGTCGTCAACTTTCGACCTCTCTTCCTACGGACAAATATTCATCGTAGTAAACAAGCGAAAATTGTGACACTCATTGCAGTAATTAGGATTGTCAACAACTTCTAAACTGAAAAATATCTAAATAGTCTTTATATTTTTGAGTGTGACAGTTCAATTCCAAGAATGGATTAAATTTTCTGACTAAGGCCTAAAGGTCTATTTACGATCAACTTATTTATAGAAATCTTTTAACCTCGTTCTTTTCTTCCTGGGGCTTCAATCTTTCTTGATTGCGAATAAATTCTTCCTCCATCAAAAGGTAGTCCTTGATCCTTTCTAGTTTAAGTAGCTTCAGCCTGCATCTAGTGTGCGGTGTGACTGTAAAAAAAACATAAAATAAACTGACTGCAACAACCTAATTTATAATCTGTTAGAATATAAGACAATCTATATATATTAGAAAAAGATAAGCATTTTAAATCCTTAACGTTGCAAAAATATAATCTTTACAAACTAAGTTAGGTCGAACGTTAGCAATTCATGGAAACTGGATGTTTCAAAACAAACAAAAAATTTGTCTAGATGTCAAAAAATTTTAAGTCTCATAGTAGGTGGAATGTAACTTGGTTTTAGTGTACTTTGAGTTAAAGACCAACTCGTAGGAATTGTCAATTCTGGCTGACAGTCGATTAAAAGGCCGATGTGTGATTTAAGTAGTTATAATAAGTTAATGTTTCCTGTGCAAACAACCAGTAGGGCCAGGGTTGCCACCTTAGGTCAGGGAAAAATCGGGACATTGCTCCCTCCCTCCCAGATTAACATAGGCTTAAATACAAGCATAAGGAACCAAAATTGGGACTGTCCCGGCAGAATCGGGACGGGTGGCAAATCTGAGTAGGGCCTACTGCATGCAAAATTTGGACAATGGCAACTTTAGTGTTTGTGATTTTCTGAGCAGTTTCTGAAGGCCACACTTGATTAAAGGCCTACTCAAAAATAGCTTAAATCTGAGAAACCAACCAAATATTTACCTTGGGGTAGTTTTGTTGCAGCATCTGGGCCTTTAGTTTTCCTCTTCTTCTTTCCAACTCGAGTAGGGATTGGTGGTTCATATTTCTTCTTCTTTTCTTTGTCGTCTTTTTTATCTCCCCCAGTTCCTCCTCCAGCTGATTGATTTTGGCCCTGAACACAACAAATGAGTCAAATTTTAACAAATTAAATGTTTAGGTTTTACTTCCCTGTTGCAACTGTCTGTTTGTAGCCTAGTGGCAATTGTATTTAACCGGTCTTAGGGCAAATTGAAGCTGAGGCTAAATTACTTCATATAGGCTACAGTAGGTACTACTGTCCGCTTAATCATCTTATAATACGCACCTAGGTGGCGTACCCATCTCAATGATTGATAATAATAATTTACCTAAGTAACTTAGGCCTAATACTCTACTTAGGCTACTTATTTAGGAAACTAAAAATAGGCTATCTAAGTATATTTTTTATTAGAAAGAAACAGAACACCAAAACATCTTTCACATAAAGTTTTTTTGAAAGATATGTTGCATGTTGCATGATTTTGTAATTAGGTTCAAGGGTAGTCCCAGGGGGGGGGGTCGTCTTTTTTTTACAAACTATACTTAAGTTAAGTTAAGGGGAACTTTAATTATTTTATTGCAAATTGTAAAACCAAATTTAAGTATTGTAGTTTATTTGCTACACTTGTGGCGAATGGTAGGAATTAATACAAATTCTGACCGAAAACTCAAGATCATTCGAATCTGACATTTTTTTGTAGCCAATGTTATGAAGTATGTTTTACCTTAATACCTCCTTAATACCTAATACCTCCTTCTTCGTCTTTTACCCACAATGTGGGATTGACAGCGTCACTTTAACACGATTACTAATACAAAAAACAATATTTACAACTATTTACATACTTCCGGCAGGCTACAGGCTTCTTAAATCATCCCCTAAATACTCTGAAATATCGTAATAGGCCCGGCTCTTGATGAAAGTGGTTAACACTGCCTCAAATGTTCTCAAGTCCAACAACTGGATATGTCGTGGCAGCTTATTGAACAGACTTATGGCTGACACACTATAACTAGCCTGGGTCCTAGATAGTCGCACCCTTGGTACATCAAGCTGATGGCGCTGCCTGGTGTTATACTGGTGGACGTCAACACGAGTGGTGAAGGTTGTTATATTAGCCCTAACGTGCACCAGACAGAGAAGTATGTAGTGGCCAACTACAGTAAGCACACCAAGTCGTGCAAAGAGGGGTTTGCAATGAGCACGATACTCACTCCCAGTAATAATCCTTAATGCACGCTTCTGAAGCACTTCAACAACCTTTGGCGAGTGTCCCCAGAGAAGAAGACCATAGCTGACATGGCAGTGAAAGAGGGCATGGTACACCATCACCAAATATGCCTCCGTTACACAACATTTCAGCTTGAAGAGGAGGAAACAGATCCGTGAGAGTCTGTTGGTGGTCTGGTCAATGTGATGTATCCAGCTGAACTTCCCATCAAGAACAAATCCAAGCAATTTAACTGGATCTTGAACACCAGGCTGATCTCTGGAGAGGCTGCAGATGATGTGCTGCGTCTTATCCTCGTTTAGTTGGAAGCGGTTTGCCAGAAACCAGGCAGTTGTACCTTCAAGACGCTGTCTGGAGATGGCCAAAGCTTGATCGATGTTCGTACCAGCTGACAGGAGAGAAGTGTCGTCTGCAAACATGAGGGTAGTGCCAAGGTTGTCGAGATCGTTGATCATGATGAGAAAAAGGGTAGGCCCAAGCACTGAACCCTGGGGGACACCAAAATAAACTGGCAAAGTGCTGGAGACAGCTCCACCAACTGCAACGACCTGCGAGCGCCGTTCGAGGTAAGTACTCAGGATGGCAAGAGCGGCATCCCTGATCCCATAGAAGTGGAGTTTCCTTTTCAAGATGGAGTGGGAGACACAATCAAATGCTCTACTGATATCACAGAGAGTCAGAGAGAGAGCTTGGTGGTTTTCAAATGCATTTTCCACGCTTGCAGCAACTTTTGCAACAGCATCAACGGTTGACCTGCCCTTACGGAAGCCAAACTGCATATTCGAGAAGAGGTCAAGTCCCTCAAAAAATGCTTCAAGCTGGGGTTTTATGGTGGCTTCTACCACCTTTCCGAAGACAGGAGTTATGGAGATGGGCCGATAGCTATTAAGCCTCTGGTGGTCACCCTTCTTGTAAATAGGGACAGTTTTCGAGGTCTTCAGAAAGTCCGGGAAGACGCCACAACTAAGGCAGTCGTTGACAGCAGCAGCAAGTGGAATGGCGATGGCATCAATAGTTTTTTGAAGTATGTAGGTAGACATACCAAACACATCAGGGCTCCTAGATGGCTTGAAAGACAGAACCAGCTTTCTAAGGTTGTGAGGAGTTGTAGGTTGGAAAACTGTTAGAGTATCAGGTGGAGGATTCACTCTAGATTCCAGAAGCTGGATGGGGTCCACATCTACATCAGGTAAGGCCTCAGTGATAGCTCTTACAGAATCAATGAAATATCCATTGAAGGTATCAGGGCTTGCAAATTCAACAGGCCGTCTAGTACCTGTGCGAGTTGATGACATCCCATGCAGCCTTACAGCGATTTGGGGCGTGTTCGATTTGTGACTCAGTAGCCTTCTTCTTCGCCATCTCAATTTGTCCCTTATAATAAGCCTTGGCCTATCTATACCTTATAAGGTACCTGTCATTTTCACCGCCAGCAGACCTATCTTTGAGCTAGCATCACAGCTTTAATCCTAGCCAACTCATCCGTATACCATTCCTTGTGGCTAACTAAACGTTTAACCTTTTTGATCTTCTGGGGTCGGTAAGGTCTGATTTTTTCAGGGAAAAACATATCAAAAATCTCCTGAAATTTTTTAAAGAAAACATACAACTTATTGCTAACTCCAGCATCATTTAAGATTTCCTCCCAAGGGGTGCTGGCAAGTGCCTCCCTTTTAAAAGTTTGGGTACAGTTTCATAACTGGGCTACGCTAATATTGATTGAAACAATCGAATTGAAAATATTGATTAAAATTAATATTTTAAAATAACTTAGGGTATAAGTTATCTTTTATAAAACTAAACTAGGTATCATGACCTAACCTAGCCAACCAAACTTGCTGATAGTGAAAAAATCGCATGAAGGATTACTAATCGAATCAATAGTTTCAATCAATATTAGCATAGCCCAGTTTAGAAACTGTACCCACAAGTTTTAAATTTCGAATGAATTGTATTTTTGCGGGATTTCTTCGTTGTTAAATTATTTCTTGAACCAGCCTTGAAATAAACGGGGAACCTTGAACACATTAAGCTGGGTCAATATTTTTACCTACGCTTCATATTCTCCTTTAAGTTTGTAAAATTGGTTCTCTGTGGTTCAGAAGTAAATCTAATGCTAGCCTATGTTTTAAACAATCAAACACAAATTTGAGTCTGCTAGGATTTCTAAGGATTTTTTAATTACCAAGAGTTTGCCCATCACTAAATCTGGCCCCCTACTAAGTTTAGACCTAGATTACTTATTGGATTAATATAACTCAAACCTAAGAAACGAATATACAGGCTAACTTAGTCATCAAATAACTTGAAAGTCTAGCCTGTAGGGAATATGCAGCTCTGGTCTAATCGTTAGTAGGCCTATTATAAATAACCTGGACTAATGCACATATGATGCTTTAATTTGCACAAATTTTAAAATTTAACATAGGCCTATAGAAGAATACAAAAACCTATGAATAGTAGTAAGGCAAGGAGTAGGTCTAGGCTGGGACTAAATTTATGGATTAAAATATCGAAATTTAGTACATTGTTTTACCATATTAATCGGGCAGAGTGCTGTAGACTTTAGGAGTATTAACACAGATTAAAATCTAATGTAAAGCTGAATCTTGAAGAATATACTTTAGTTTTACACTGAGTTCCCAAGAAATAACCTAAATGCTTGACTTTTCTTTCTTGTTTTCTCTCATTTATTCGCTTCGCTTCCCTTCCGCTAGTAGACAAAGACGATCAAATTAAACTGATTTGTCATTTCGCATACCTACTTCATAGACTTTTAAAAAATATAATTTTCCATGTAGCCCCATAGCGTCTGTCTAAATACCTTTTCGTCTTATAACTAACTGTTTAAAATAAAACCATTGATTATACAGGGTGTTGAAAATGTCTGGAACCAACATTATATCTGGTGAGTGGTTAAAGAAAAACAACTGATATTTTGTGTACGGATAAACTATGGTTTTATCTATCTTTTGGTGCCATATGAATTTTTTTACCACTTATAGGGAACGTCCTGTGGAGGATGCAGTAAAAAGTTTTAATGGAAGCCTATGGTAAATGATACATCATTTTAAAGGTAATTTTTTTCTGAGTAAGGAGCCGCAAGTTTCATCTCAAAAGGACCACCCTAGCGAAAATGGCGACTGTTTGAAATTTAAAAACCCACTAATAGGGAACGTCCTGTGGAGGATGCAGTAAATGGTTTTAATGGAAGCCTATGGTAAATGATACATCATTTTAAAGGTAATTTTTTTCTGAGTAAGGAGCCACAAGTTTCATCTCAAAAGGACCACCCTAGCGAAAATGGCGACTGTTTGAAGTTTTTGAAAATAATTGAAAGCTTAATTGGTATTTATGTTAAAAATAAGTTTAGTAAAACGACACAAACAATTTAGTTAAATGTTTTTTTTAGTCACTTTTAAGTTCACCACGTTATAAACTACTGTACTTCGAAACTGGCTTGTAATAGCATTTAAAGGAAACAAATACGGACCATTTAAATAGCAATGTTTTTAAATTTCAAACAGTCGCCATTTTCGCTAGGGTGGTCCTTTTGAGATGAAACTTGCGGCTCCTTACTCAGAAAAAAATTACCTTTAAAATGATGTATCATTTACCATAGGCTTCCATTAAAACTTTTTACTGCATCCTCCACAGGACGTTCCCTATAAGTGGTAAAAAGTTTCATACGGCACCAAAAGATAGGTAAAACCATAGTATATCCGTACACAAAATATCAGTTGTTTTTCTTTAACCACTCACCAGATATAATGTTGGTTCCAGACATTTTCAACACCCTGTATATTCACTATAAAACAGTCCAATTTCACCAATTCCTCCAATGCCAAGATTCGACAACATTCAAATCCTTTGGGATTTAGTTTCGATATAGTAGGACTATACGTTATGTAATTATAGTGTAAAACCATGCCAAAGTCCTGCGCCTGCTCCTGCCCAAACTGCCACGGTGTGCGGTACAGGTAACCCCAGGGCGGGTAACCAGCCAGGTATTTCTAAGGGAGTAGTTGTCAGTTGAGTTAGCAGCATGTTTACTGCTACGCCCAGTACCGCGTACAGCGTACCGCGCCAGTGTGGGCACCCTACATACAGCTAATGGTGTATTTGTCGAGGCGGTATAATTACCCTTACCGAAGACCACGTACCGCGGTGGTTTGGGCAGGTAACCAAAAACCAGAAAATCATAATAATCTACTCTTGAATTCGTGATCTACAGTTTCATTACTGCTCTATTCAAAGCCAAGCCAGCTTTTGAATTATTGAGCCACTGTGAGAGAGACGGCCAAAAAGATGGATGACGGCACCATTTCCACTTTCCTAACCCCCTAACCGTAGCCTTCTACACTTCAATGTTTACTTAAACCATAGATTAAACAAACATGCTTGAACTATTTAAAGTCAATAACAAACCTACTCTGTTTAAGGTTGAGTTAAGCAACATCGAATCCAAGACAATTTTTTTTTAGGGGAGAGGTCCTTCCAATAACAGCTAATTACTTTTTAAATGCACACATATCATAGTTGTAAAACTTAAAGCAACAATTCCAACCCTCGTAGGTACGGTACCTTACAGGTGTACAAAGGTTATACATATATGGTTTGTAAAACTGTTTCAATTAAATATTTAGCGCTTTGGGGGGGGAGGGATTAGCATGGCATCCCTTACCCTCTTAACTCGTCCCCTCCCACAGGGGCAGGCTTTACAGTCCAGACCTTATAGAGAGAGTCTGTAGCTTATAAAACGACCTTGTGGTGACTACAAACAATGAAAGCAGGTTAAGACTGAAGGGTAGAGGCGATCTTATAATTAGGTATCTCTGCATAAAGAAAAAAGTGTTTTTAGTCATAGATAAAACATACTCCCTTAACATACTCAATTTTGCTTATAAAAAGGTATAATGTTACCTGGATCTGCAAGAGTAATCCAAATAAGGTTGTCTGTCAACTGTGGCTTCATCATCAGGTCTTTAAGAAAAAATTTCACTCATCAGAGGTGGTCAAATAAATATAATATGTTCACAAACATAAATGAGTACATGGACGGAAACGATAGTAGGCCTACGAACCGCGTGCACATGGCAGGCAGGTTTTTCATAGTTATGTATTCTCGAAAAAAGCATCCGCTCAATTTGCTGCTTTCCCTCCCCCCTATACAAGCACTCCCTTCAGGCTGCTACTGTGTAACAGATAGTACATATTCTGTTAATGGGACCTCATGGGACCAGCCTCAGTGGGTATTGTATTACCTAAAAGGTTGGTAGAAATAAATTTTTTACTGATGTTAAGCTATATAAATGAACTCAACTGCATGTAAATGTAAATTCTTTCTTTACTCATCAATGCTTTCTCACTAAAACTGTACCTACCCGGAGTAACAATGACAGTATAAAGTGAACATTTACTACATGTAAGAATGAACCGACTATTGTTACCACAGTAAGGGCACTTTTTACTCGAGGCCAACTGTGGTGGCCCCCACCGGTTGGTTACCGGCCAGGTAACTGTAGCTGATGGTACTAGAAGGGGGTATGTTTTATCTATGGTACTAGCAACCTAGCCACCGCAGAACTAGTCAAGAAAATGTGGGTAGTAAACATCTTTTCACGTTACAGATCAAGAAAGAGGGGAAGCGCAGTTATATGTTCGATTTCTATAGAATACTCACCACTAGGATGGACGGTGATGCCAAGGAACTGTGAGCCGACAACATTTTTAAAACTATTACCATATGTCCAATGTATCCATTGATAGACTTTCAAGTTATGCATTTCTAAATAGCATTCTTTGTTTTTTTTCCAAAATGTGCTTGTCAATCGACTAGTACGATTAGGTCTTAGCGAGTAACAAGGTATTTATTTATTTATCTTGTTCGAAACTGTCAATTAAATAATTTTTTTTGACTAACAAACTAATAAACAGTGTTTGATTTTATCATTTCACACAACTTTAATAAAATGAATAGGAGTAGTCGAAAACAGTGAAGTGTACGTGCAATAAATAATATTTTATTTACAAAATAAAATTACAAATTACATAAATTTAATTTAAATCACACCAATCAAGCGATAAATACCATTATCACTTATTATTGTCATCAATCGCTTTTTAAGTTTTATTAAAACTAAATAGGTTGTATAAATAATGAAGAGTAAAGAACACAGCTGACAAAATGGACTTGAAAGTAAATGCATACAACTCGGTAAAACAATTATTGCAATTTTGTATACAGTAATATAGCGTTAGGAAGATATGGCTGTATCAGACTTGGGTACATAAAGATAAAATTATTGCAAGGATTCAAAACTACGAAATTAAATAAATGAGATTTTAAAACCTTAAATTCACAATTTGATAAAACAAGTTCTAAGAATATAAATAGCAAACAAAAATAATAAAAGTTAAAAAGAATTACATTGGCCTACTTCGAGACTTGAAATAAAATTGAAAATACGACACTCTTCACCTACATTTAATTAGGTTTCTATTACTTGTTTGCTATTGCGTCAATCAAAGGTGTTTAAAGCCCTTTATTGAAATATACTTCATCTGGTAAGTTTTCTTTACTTCCGACTTTCTTAACCATATCACTAAATCTGTCTTCCTCAAAACGCTCCATCACCCAGGTACCCAGAGAACTGAAAAAGAAAAACAGAATGAGTTTACAGTGTCAAATTTAATGAAAATTTCAGCAGTACAAATTAGCGTTAAAAACCAACATTTCATTTTAATGTATTTGGAGGGTAATATTTTTCTTAACACAGATCTGGGGATTTGTTTGGTAATAAGGAGTCAGTTCTTGGGGAAATCGTATGGATATGAACATTCAACTGATAAATTATTCTGAAGAAACTTTAAGAATTAAAATATATGAAAAATTACATGTTTTGAGCCCTTAATTTAATGAAGTATTAAATGTTTTTTGGGATAGTAGGCTTACCTGTTTGGGGAAAAACTGGCACTAAAACACCAATATTTTACACAAATAAAGAATATTTCAATGTCACTGACGTTATTTTAAACCAGTGAAGATAGAGTTTTCAGAACGAGATAGAGGGAGATACAGTACTTTTAACCCTCCGAGCGTCACTCCTCGAAAAATCGACTCACGACACACTTTGTGTAGTGTCACGCGTCGATTTTTCAACGCACGAACATCGTCTACGGCGAAGGCTCTATGACTGACTGAATCGGATTGAACTGGATCGAGTTAGGTATCGTTCTTTTCGTTAGATTCTAAGCTTTCTCCAGAGGTCTGTCTCTAAGCGCTTTATGTTCTCCGAGCCGATCGTAATTGTAGCAGACAGCTGACGTGCGTATTTGCAAACAGCTAGGTTACCCTCGGACCGATGACTGATGTGTTTTATTACGTTTATCATTGTTTTAGTGTTAAAAATCAAAAGTAGTGATATACGTGGTGCATTATAAGAAGATTTAAGTGATTTTGAAGGGCTGGTTGATGATCCTGAAGAAGTAGGTAGTGATATTGATGTAAATTATCAGCCAGATTCCTAGCTATGGTTAGGCTATGCATTCTTAGCTAAACGCTATGTACTGAAATCTGTTTTTTGCCCATAACTTATTTATTTGCAAATCTACTTCCTTATATTATTATATATTTGTAATCCTCATAAAATTTAGAACAAAGTGGCTATTTTCAAATATTTATAGGCCTATAATTTATACAATTTCATTGAGCGCGAACTTATTTTTTTTTTTTTGAAAATTTTCCAAAATATATTTTTTTACCTAAAAATTTTTTTTTTACCTAAAAATTTTTTTGAAACAAATTTTCCTTATGTTTTATGTATAATATTGAAGCCCATGATTTTCCAAACAAAATGGTATATAGAACAGTAGAATTAACATTGTTTTAAGCTTCTCAGATCCGTTTTAATAAAACCTTGCAAATGCGCCAAAAATAGGCGGACATTAAGGCCTAAACTATGGACACTCGGAGGGTTAATGTCATTTGACATAAAAATATGAAAAAAAGAATTAAACTTACCATCTCTGAGGCCAGATAGAGCAGGCAAGCGGGACCATGAATAGCAGGCTGTAAAAATCATTCATATTAGTAATTAAATTTATTTATATTACTAAACTATTTTTGTATTGTTATTTATTATTGAAACAGTATATTATTTTGTTAAAGTAAACTATATTATATCAAAGAACGAATTAAAAATGTTAGTGTCGGCTGCTAGACCTTTTTTAGAAATCAAATTAAATTTCTAAAAAAAAACTGAAACCCAAAATTTAAATCACAGTTTGAAATTCCCTTTCTCACACAACTTTCTTTCCTTCCAAAGAATTATTCAAATCTTTCAAGTTGTTAGTTCAGAATATTCGTAAAAAACCCCCCTTCTTGTTTTAATATTTGGTTACAAATAAATAGGACCATAGACAAAAGAATCAACAATAGAATGACAGCTGTGCTGCAATTAGCAAATATTCTTGTGTCCACTGCTAGGAGTGCCATGTGGTTTTGGCACACACCGCTGCAATGTCAAGCGCCAGCAAGTGTTGCCAACTTCAGGAGAATTCCCCAGCATCCGGGGAGTAGGGGTTTGTTCCGTTATTTTTCCATGTTTTAAAGATATTTGGGGATTTAAAAAAGAAGGTTTTCCGTTAAAGTTGCGGGACGTCAGGATTTTGCACTTTAGCCATATTGAAAAATGGGTCTGATAATTTGGTAGCATTTCTTTTGCATGGGCGGTAGTGTTGGTAGCAGAGGGTGAGTTGACGACAGCAGCGGATCAACAAACACAGAGCACCACATCGCGGAACCTTCCTTTGACAGTCTATATTTATTCTATTTGCCTATAATAGGACTGATGCAATGTTTGACCATAATACTCACAATCCTCCCACCATCATGGTTTGGAATGGAGCGTGGAACCACGCCGCAGCTTTGAACTTGGGGTTCTGTTCCAACCTCTTCATTATGATTGGCAAAATATCTAAACAAATTGGTAATTACAAGTAGCAAAATATCTGATATTCAAAGTTTTAAAATATCTAGTCTAGATCTAAGTACGCAAAATGATTTCTGTCCTAATTCGAATTAATTTTGTACTCGATCCAAAGACATAATGAATATACACAGTAGAACCTTAATAACAATACTCTCATGGGGATTATTAAATAAGACTTGTTATCAATTTTGACTTCATATCGAGGTTTGAAATAACATGTGATTAGGGGTAAAATAAATTCTAGGGCATTTAAAAATGACACTTGTTATCAAGGATGACTTGTTATCGAGGTTACACTGAATAAACTTTGTATCAATAGAACTTAAGTATAAAGTAGTAGGGGTGTGTGGGTCCACTAATTTTTGGGTCAGACCAGGGCCGACAGTTGGCGCGAGATTTTATTTCGATCAAAAAAGGGATTGGGTCAACTGTCAAGCTTAGTAGGAGTTATTGATGTTATGGATGTGTGAGCGACTTGGTTTTGAATCACAGAAGGCGTCTGCAAAGATTGCACAGTTTAAAATTGACAATTTTGCTGTAATTACACAAGAATATGTTCAATATTTTTCTACAATTGTGGGAAACAATGCTTAAGTCTCCGTGATTAGTTAGAGATGATTTTTCAGGAGACATTCACAATTTGATTGCAACTGCAGTGGACGTGTTGTTTTTATTTTTATATTTTGTCTGTTTTTACGCCAGTGGAATTTTTTTACGCTTTGTAAGAGGACGGGTCCAAACCGTGGTCTTGTTTCTCACGTTGACCTCTTTGATAAATAGCTCATTAGAAAGAAAAAGCGCTTTTTATTTTCAAAATACCCAGTGCACAAGACAAGTTAATTCGTCCCGCGCAGAGGACGTGCCTACGCGCTACAGCAATAACCTCTCGGTCGTCTGCCGGGTTGGCACGTCTAAAACTAAATCTAACAAAACAATTATTGCATTCCTTTAAAATAAAATAAAAATCTTTCCTTAAACTAACAATTATGGCAAAGATTTTAAAGATAATAAATAATACAATTTAACCAGTTTGTCTAAATTCCTATATTTATATCGGTTTTTTTTGTTTTTTTTTTTGGGTTGAGAAGTTGGGAGGAGTACAATATTTAAATTTTTATTATAAGTTTTTTTTTTTTGTTCAATTCTAGTATTAAAATCCACCTGTATTGCCAGGCGGTTTTAAAATAATGTACTAACGCTCGCCAATCCCTGCCATTTAAAAATCTAATATAATCCTCTTCGGAAAGGACCCTATTGTGTAAAAATGTTAATCTAAGATTACTTAAAATTGGACATATAGCGATGAAATGAAATGTGGTTTCAATTTCGCCCATGTTACAAAGAACAGAACTTATTTCCTGTTGAGCGAGGTTTACCATTCAAATAGAGCAACTCTGCCCTAGCCTTAATTATCCAGGAAACGAAGCTGACATCGGCGTTATCAGTAAGGTAGCTTCTATCACCAAGTTCAAGGCGAAGGTCGAGGCTGATCAGCTGACTGTGGTGTATGGACATGAGATAGCTCATTAATTCATAGCCCAATGACAATTAATGGCATCTGGGTCTGGAAACAATCTCGCTTGGATACAAACCAGCGACCTTCAGATTTGATGGCGAGGACTATAATCACTCAGCTACCCAGAAAATTTGTTTTGATTTAGCCACGACCTAGGGATATATTCCTAATTCCATAAATACCACAGATATTTACGGGTTTGCCACGAGCACAGGAGATGTAAAAGCACAATATCAATAATGTGAAATATACAACTTACTGTAATAAAACAATTATTATTTTTTTTAACTGACACTTTCCAATCCAATTTCATTTTGGCCCAAGCTCCGAAGGTCGAAATTGTTGTCACAACTCATCAACACATATGACAACATATCAACTTATGTCATCAACTTGTCACAACATATGAAGAACCATCAATGCATAATTTAGAAAACATCCTCCAAACTTTTTTGAATGGAATTACCGTACATCTAAGAACCGTAATTAGATCTGACCATAGCTAAAGTGTCAGACAATTTTGAGCATTCGTTATCACAATTAATAATTTTTTTTTTCATTGTTTATGAGGCAATACTCACTCATTCCTGGAGCACACATGATGATTCGACATAGGACCACCTGACTGATACCTTTGACTGCGGCCATCTGAAAATGTCAAACCAGTGATGCAAAATAAATACAAAATCAACACACTTGAGTCCCCTAGTCCGATCAAGGTGATCAGAACGGACCAACATTCTAAATTGGTTTTAAATTAAATAACTTTTGGTCTTTTTGAAATTTGATAAATGTTAAAACTATGTGGAATTAAAGTTAACTAATTATGTTAATTAATTATGTGGATTTCTGGATTTATAACTCCTATATTTGATCCCATATTATGGGTGTACGTAGCTACCTCAAAAAGAATCTAGAAAACATTTTGACTATACAGAAGCAATCTATTAGAGGACAATGTTTCAGCAAAAGAATGCTTTAAACATTTAAGAATCCTATCCGTTTATGGCATTATATGGTCTTATGTTTGTCAAAAACAATTTCAATCCTCAAATTAATGAAAAAAATCATTTAACTACAATACACACAAAAAAATAGCTTATTAACTGATATCCATAAATTAAAATTAGAGTACTTAAATAAAGACTCACTGCGGGACATGAATTTGTAAAAAACATTCCATTGGTAACTAAACCGGAACAATGACGCGACATTTTTTTAGTCTCAAAGAATGTTTAATAGACTTGTCTTTATATTCTTTAGATAAATTAAAAAAATTATATATCTTATTTTCAGCATTTGTTTTAGATTGTTTGACGCTGCTATACAACTATGTATAAGCCTATTTATGTATACAAATTTTTTACTATGACTATTTATTTTAACGACCTTCAATGAATTAGGCCTATACATGGGTGGCTACTTTTCCCCATATCAAGGAGTCAGGCCCATTTAGACAGTATGTGTGAAGTTATGTAGTAAACAATAAACATTGGAATGTGTCAGTCTCATTTATTCACTGGCTCACACTCAACGGTTGAACATCTGGTTGGCAAGAAGGTGTGACTCTTACGACAGACAGGTCGAAATTGACCCTAGCCAAAACTGTCTCGTGACTCGTCTTGTACTGACGCTATTTTAAATTCAATATCACCTCTCAAATCATAAATGTCTACGAATAAGTATACATAAAAAGTTGTATCTTTTATAAAGCTGTGTTTTAATTTATTTTTAACTAATTTATTATTCCCTGTTGCGAGACTTTATGTGAAAAACTTAAAATTGGAAATGTAGGTAAAATGACTCTTATTAATTACAAAATAATTAATAAATGCACGCATATTAACTCAACACAAAAATCTATTTCATGAATGTTTACAAAACAAAAACAATAGAAAAACATATGATAGTAAAAATATGTATAAATGAATTATAAACAGTCTTAGAGAAGACATAACAGTCTCCCCCACTATTTTGAACTTGCAGTGTATTATTATGAAAGCACAAAGTCCTTGTATCGGCCCGGCATTTGCCTTTGTCGCCTTGATCTTTCTTGATTCTCAGGAATATGGCTATTGTTCGTTTCTGTTCCCTGAACTACTGGAACCTCTGCATTGTTTGCTTTGGGAGTTGGTGGTTTTTCAGAAATTGACGGTCCTTTGGAAGTTGATGGTCCTTCGGAAGTTGATGGTCTTACGGAAGTTGATGGTCTTTCAGGAGTTGATGGTCTTAAGGGAGTTGATGGTCTTTCAGGAATTGACAGTCTTTCAGGATTAGAACAAGTAAGAGCCTTAGAATTTTCTTTTGTGCTGTGTTTAGAAGCCCGTGGAACATCAAATATGTGGATTGGTCCCGTGGTAACAATTTTTGGTTTTGGTATCAAAGTAGACCGCAATTGATCAATGTGTCGTTTAACAAGTCGGCCTGACTTGTCAAGGGAAACTAGATAGTGTCGAGTTCCCAACTTGTTGTTTACTTCTCCAAACTCCCAAACGTTCTTATTGTTTATGAAGAGACGAACCTGAACTCTCTCCCCCTCGTTGAATGAACGTGCAGATGGAGCATTTCTAGTTGAAGCTTTTTGTACGTTGGGAAAAATGGCATCCATTCGTATTCTTAACTTCCTGTGGAGGTAAAGTTCAGCCGGTGATTTGCCACATGCTAGAGGAGTTGCCCGGTACCGCATTAAGATCTTCTGGACCTTTATTGCCATTGGTATGTTTTCCGAAGCTGTGGACTTCAGGCGGTTCTTCAATGTTTGAACAGAGCGTTCTGCTAAGCCGTTTGTTGCTGGATGTCCTGGAGATATGAATTTCTGGAAAATGCCGTGCAATTTGCAATAAACTTGGAATGTATCACTTTGAAAAATTGAGGCGTTGTCAGATACCATAACATTCGGGTAGCCGTGTGTTGCAAAAATCTGTTCAAGCAGATTTATGGTATTGGAGCTGGATGGTGCATCTTTGATTACTTTTATCTCCGCCCATTTTGATCTAGCATCAATACACACGAGGAAGTTGAAGCCTTGAAACGGTCCTGCGTAGTCAATGTGTATTCTTTCCCAGTTCTCTTTTGGGATTTCCCACGGGTGATTGGGAGCTTTGGGCGGATTTGACCGTGTTAGTGCACAATTTTCACATCCTTTCACAAGATGCTCAATGTCCTTGTCAATATTTGGCCAGTAAACATAGCGCCGTGCTAGCTGTTTCATTTTTGTGATTCCAAGATGACTTTCGTGAAGTTCATTTAGAATCTTGTTTCTAAGTAGTGATGGAATGTAAACTCTTTCTCCCCGGAAAATAATGTTTTCGACCAACGTAAAATCAGAATCAGTTGAATTGGTGAGTAGGTCTTTCAAAATCTTAGAGAGCACTGGATCTTTGGCTGTCTCGTTCTTAATGATTTCAGCTGTGATTTCATGGCTTGAAATTTGAAAAATAACTTGGCTGCAGATTTGGTGTACCTCTTTTCCGATTTTCTTGTCTTTAGTAGAGTGAGTCTGTGTAAGAGGAGCTCTTGAAAGACAATCCACGTTTTTATTTTCCATGCCCTTTTTGAACACCAACTTGTAATTGAAACCTGACAGATATGATGCATATCTGAGTAAACGAGCTGAAGTCATTTGTGGTAGAGCCTTGTCATGTCTGAAGATCCTAGATATTGGCTGATTATCTGTTACAAGTTGAAATTGAGTCCCGAATAGGTAATAATAGAAGTGGGAGACACCAAAAACTATGGCTAATGCTTCCCGGTCTAGTTGACTATAGTTACATTCGGCATCAGTGAGTGAACGTGAGGCGTAAGCAATTGGCCTCTCAGTACCATCTATTAAGTGGCTAAGAACTGCAGCTAGTCCAGTAGGTGAAGCGTCTGTGGTGAGGACTAACGGTAGTTTTGGATCGAAAGGTACGAGTATCCTGTTACTGCAGAGCTCAGTTTTGATTCGTTGAAAAGCCTTTTCACATTCTGGTGTCCATTCCCATTTCTTATTTTTGCGTAACAAACGTCGCAAAGGAAAAGTGACAGTTGAAGCATCTGGAAAGAAACGAGAGTAGTAAGAAACCATTCCTAAGAATCGTCGTAATTCTTCAACTTTTGATGGAAGTGACATTTCTTTAACAGCTTGAACTTTGGTAGGAGATTTCTTTATTTTGTTTAACTCCACCACTCGTCCTAGATATTCTATTTGTTCTTGAAAAAATGAACACTTCTGTTTGTTTATGTGTAAGTCAAAATCTGAGAGTCGTTGAACACAGGCCTGTAGATTTCTTTTGCACTCATCCATTGTTGAGCCATGGCAAATTATGTCATCAAAGTAGGCCTCGGTTTTAGGCAACCCCTTCAAAATTTGTGTAAGAATTCGGTTGAATTCAGAAGGTGCTGTCTTTATTCCGAAACTTAGACGATTGACACGATATGTTCCACGGTGTGTTGACATTGTCTGGATAATACTGGACTCTTCGTCGACCTTGAGATGCAGATAAGCTTTGTACAGATCAAGTTTACAAAAGTAACGAGATCCTCTCAAACTATCGAGTACATTGTCAATTTTTCGAATAGGATGGTTTGCCTGGACTATTCGTTCATTCACACCACACTTGTAGTCGACACAGAGACGAACACTTCCATCTGCCTTAGGTATCACGACTAGTGGTGACCCCCAATCACTTGACGTAACAGGCGAAATGATTCCTTCATTTTCAAGTAAATCTAGTTCCTTGTTGACCTGATCAATAAGAGCATGAGGTACGTTCCGTTCACGATTGAAAATAGGCTTTGCTCCTGATCGAAGATGTAATGATACTGTAAAGTTTGGAACGCATCCAATTTTTGGCTCGAAAATTGGAGCAAATTTTTCAAACAGTTCCTCAACTGAATTTACTGGTTGTAATTGAAGGGTAGTAGCTGGTCGGTTCATTTCAGCGTCAATTTCACACAGTTCAATACCCAGTCCTCGGATCCATTGGCGCCCTAGAAGTGCATCATGACCTGAAGGGACGATGTGAAGGTCACCTTTGAACTGTTTACCCTTGTATGATACAGAAACTGATACCTTTCCCTCTGGTTTGATTATGTCTCCAGAGTAAGAACGGAAAGCTAGCCTTGATGGTTCTACAGGTACGTTCAGATGTAGACGTTCAAAGTCATTCTTCGCAAGGAGAGAAAATTTAGCCCCACTGTCAACTTCAAAACATTGCAATTTTCCATTTATAGTGACAGAAACAATGTACTTGTCTGAATCATATCCAACTTCAAATAAATCTACGACATCAAAGTTCTGGTAGATCGAATCAATTTTGTGCACTCCGTAATCAGAAGAGTCGTCACTAGAATAATCGTCATCATTTGATCCTGAATGTAGGTTGTTGGTTGAATTTAACTTTGATGTTGATTTCTTAGTCCTTGACATCAGTGTAGTTATGCAGACCGCAGAGACATGTCCTCGTTTTAAACACTCCCCACATTGGAGTTTATACTTGTGTCTGTTACAATTTGCAGCAATGTGTTTGTTACTTCCACATCTAAGACAGAGGCCTTCTATTCCGAGGGCATTGAAGTCAGGTCTTTTGTTATTTGAACGTTGTTTCCAGTTGAGAGATGTCTTGTTGGATGAGCGATTGTTAGAGAACTGGTGGGATCGTCTGGAA